TGGGTCGCACGAACTATCAGGCTCGGCTAAGCAATTCAGTTTGCGCAGTCTCCTCCCCGCTTCAGGGGAGTCCGCTTCACTATGGTCGGTGGCAATGCCCCTGTCATGAGTGCGGAGGTTGCTATCCAACTGGCCAAGGGTGTGATCGAGACTGTCCCTCGAGCCGAAATGAGGCCCGGCTTCTACAGCCCCTACTTCATTGTCCCGAAGAAATCCGGTGGGTTACAGCCAATCTTGAACCTGCGTGTGCTGAACCGCTCCCTGCACAGGATGCCGTGCAAGATGCTCACTGCCAAACGCATTTTCGAATGTGTGCAGCCCCAGGATTGGTTTGCAGCCATCGACCTGAAGGACGCCTACTTCCATGTCTCCATTCTCCCTCGATACAGACCATTCCTTTGGTTTGCTTTCGAGGGGCAGACATACCAATAGGCGGTTCTCCCTTTCGGGCTAGTTCTGTCTCCTCGCATGTTCACAAAAGTCGTTGAGGCAGAATTTGTTCGCAGCCTGACACGGGGTTCGCAGCCTGAAACATCTCGACAACTGGCTGATTCTAGCTCACTCTCGAGACCAGGTTTGTGAACACATGGGCCTATGGCTCCGGCACTTAGCTCGTCTGGGCCTTCGGGTCAAATGGGAGAAGAGCAAACTTTGCCCTGTGCAGAGGATCTCTTGTCTTGGTATGGACATCGACTCGGTCACCATGTCCATGCAGCTCACAAGCGAGTGAGAATCCCATTTCTGCCACATATAAATAATAGAGGTAAATCATAAAAAAATGACATAAAAAGGTTAAGATTTTCACATATAAACTGACTTTAAGTCATAATTTCACATTTTTAAATCAATGACTATGTAATAACTGATTTTTTTTGCGTCAGAAATTGGCTTCCATAGAAGTGTCATTGAATCATTCAGTCAACTAGTTTGTAAACGCTGTCACTGCTGCCACTGCACAGTCACTGCTGACTTCCCTGAGACAATTCGAGGGCAAGAGTGCAATTCCACTGAAACTGTTTCAGAGGCTCCTGGGGCATATCAGATTGCTTCATATGAGATCGCTTCAGCTTTGGCTTCGCGACCGAGTCCCGAGCTGGGGATGGCAACACGGTACCCTCCGAGTTCCAGTTACTCCATCCTGCCGTCCCCGTGGTCGAACCTCAGTTTTCTACGGACTAGAGTGCCCCTGGAACGAGCTTCCCGCCATGTTGTTGTCTCAACAGATGCCTCCACCACGGGTTGGGGCGCCATGTGCAATGGACATGCTGCCAAGGGCTCCAGGACATGACCCCTGCGCCGAAGCCACCTTGCCACCCCTGGGGTTGAAATATTCCACCTGCGGCTGGACACCCCATTGTTCTCCATATCCATCCCAATGGGTCATATGTATTCACCTGCCACTTCTACTGTACCGCGGGGATCACCTGAGCTCAGTCTCGGCTCCTCAGTGAAGAAACATATGTGCATATTGCCAGCGTCCTCCTTTTATACCCACGAGGTGGGGCGGAGTTGCATGGAAGGAACTGGCCGGGTGACAATCTTTTGTTCTCCACTCCCCTTCGAGCTTCTACATCTGTCCCGCTGGGTCGCACGAACTATCAGGCTCGGCTACGCGATTGCTCCCCGCTTCAGGGGAGTCCGCTTCACTATGGTCGGTGGCAATGCCCCTGTCATGAGTGCGGAGGTTGCTATCCTACTGGCCAAGGGTGTGATCGAGACTGTCCCTTCAGTCGAAATGAGGTCCGGCTTCTACAGCCCCTACTTCATTGTCCCGAAGAAATCCTGTGGGTTGCAGCCAATCTTGAACCTGCGTGTGCTGAACCGCTCCCTGCACAGGATGCCGTGCAAGATGCTCACTATGCAAATTCCACAGACCCATGGCATTTCTTTGCCATTGGCTCGTTTTGAAATACTTCAAAACCAAATATGTTGTCATCTGAAGTAACGTCTCCATTCCCTACTCAGGGAACGAAGGTTACATACGTAACCGAGACGTTAACTGGTTTGTTCAAAACATTGCTTCAATCAGCAATGAAACAATTGATTTTCTGAATCACAGGTACAAGTAGGTACTTTGAATAAGTATTTATTTGCAACTGCTAAAAAAGTATGTTCCTATAGTATGAAAATCTGTAGTATGAATACTACATTCATACTACGTACTACATTCACCATGTTGTCATTGTCACCTGTGACCTGCCAGTGTAAGTTGTGTCGCTTCACTTCCATGATTAACAGATCCTCTCCCGTGGCATTCAGTAACTAGACGAGACTCAGTTGGTTATGCTTTGAATTTGTTTGGAACTATTTTAATTTTTGTGTGAATTATTCCTTTATGTAAATCATTCACTAAAGGAAGAGCCATTGCTGCTGACAAGCTCCATTTCAAGACGCCCTTTGACCTTATACAGCCCGAGGAGGACCCTGTAGTCCAAACTAAAGCCTCATGAGGAGGAACAATGGGAGCCACAGATCCCCTGATGGAGCCAGACAGCTGAAGCCTTGTTACATGCAGTAAAAGACCCTTTATTGCACTGGTGTGAGCATGTGTACTGAAGGAGCTTTCTGCTCATTTAGTGTGGATCATTTCATGCTCATTGCCATGCAGACAAATACAATGGATTTTTTTTTCCATTAACCATTTTACCCCTAGCAAGAGTTCTTTGACAAAATCTATTTATCTAACATCTCCAAGCAACCCTGGGCCTGTCATGTCTGATGACATTTTATATGCCCTTAAGAGAATAACTGTTGCACAGATGATTAATATTACTCAATAGGTCTAGTATGAAGAAAGACATTACTGTATTTCTGCTGCGGTTTTAAAAAAGGACATTTTAAAATGTGCTCATTCAATGCTATTGCAGGACTGTGACTTTCAGTATTTTAACAATGTATAGTTAGGGTAGGAAAATACATCATTTTAAAAGTCTTATCAAATTTTAAAATGAAAAAACATTTCTCATATGATATCCGTATATTATGTTCTTAACATCTAAGGCTGTGTATTCAATCAAACTATGTTACAAACTATGTAATCAATTGGCAATGATTTTGCATTGTTGGGTATTTGAAGTAATACATGTAAATGTTGATTTAAAGCACATTTTTGTGGACTTTAACAAATACAATTAACTTTTAAGCTATTAAAAAAATGGGGAGTTCTATTTTTTTTAAAAGAATTAAATACTTTTATCAACCAAGTATGCATTACAAGGATAAAAAGACTTTACATGGTTAAAAATATTTCTTTCAAGTAAATGCTGTTCCTGAACTTTCTATTCATCGAATAATCCAGAAGATATGCGTCACATTTTCCACAAAAAAAAATTTAGCAGGACAAATGCCTAGTTTTGTCATGAAACTCTAGATGGCACAGGCTGATGGGTCCTTAAAGGAGCTGTATGCAAGAAATTTATTTCAATTAATCATAAATTTTCCCTGAAATGTCACTAGACATTGAGAAATCATGTTAATTTCAAATACTTATATCATTGACAACAGTAGTCCGGCCAGGATATTGTCATTTAAAAAGTGAAGTCGCAGCCATTGACTGATTTTTTGTTCTGATGTGTCACCCTCCACCGATCAATTAGATTAACTAATTAATCTAATTGAATTTCAAACAGCAATATTTATGTTTAAGGTTAGGAAAAATGTATTGCCTGGTAGTATACAGAAAAGGTTTTTGGAAAGAGAGGGGTGTTACGACTTAAGGGGAAGGTCAAACTTCAAGACTACCAGTTATCGAACAACTAGGAAAAGTTTGTTTGTCTGTCTGTGGTGTTAAGTTGTGGAATAATCTAAATAATGAATTTAAGCAATGTCCAAACATAATTCATTTTAAAAAGATGTTCAAAGAAATTATATTCCAGAGTTACAGAGAAACATAGTGTTAACTTGAGCTTATATTGAATGAACCCATAGTATAAATATTGTCATGTATCGGGAAACATCCTTATGTGTATAGAACTTCTGAATCAATACTTTCATGGATTATAGATTGATTACTTATTTAGATTTTTATTTATTTTTTTAGGTATTTGTTTAAATATGGTATAGGGGGGTAGGAGTACATAAGTTTTACTTCTTCCTACTCCTTTTTGCACATGTAAATAGAGGGTTGTTTTTTGTTTTTGTTTTGTTTCTTTTAATTGATATTCCTTGTTTCATTGATTAATATCTGTATTTTTATTTATTATTTACATGTTCAAAATAAAGATCTCAAATCAAATCAAATCAAATCAAATCTACCAATCACGTCAATAGTCAATAGTGTTGCGGCATTCGGGTTGCCAGCTCTTCTCTAGATACCACAGCAGCAGATACATACGTGTCGGAATCGGATTAAAAAAAATTCTAATGTTGCGAAACCCCCAAAAACTCAATATGAATCCGAAATACTTTGTTAAAAAAAAAAGCTGATTTGTAGCATCTGCAGCCAATGAGCTTGCTGCTCACAACATTTAAATGGCTGGTTAGCACTCAAAACCCCCCCACCTTCCCCAGCTCCACCTGCATAGATCTGCTATGGGTAATATATATACATTTGGTTTTTGTGCAGCAGGATTATGTCTTACTCACAGCAGCGTATCAGCGCATGTTTTGGCAGTAGCAAGTTCCTGTACTTGCTCTGCAGCAGCAGCGTAGCAGATCTATTCTCACAAGACCAAATACATTAACATTGTCATTTCCGTCACAATTCTAAAAATCTCCGGAGTTGTCTTGATAGATCTGTTTTCAACATCGATGAGAATAAGGAATGTTTCTTGAACAGCAAATCAGCATATTAGAATGACTTCTGAAGGATCATGTGACAACGAAGGCCATCATTGCCATCACAGGAATAAATGACACTTTTTAAAATATATTAAAATTGAAAACTGTTATTATTTATAGTTATATATTTCATAATATTTACTGAATTTCTGATCAAATAAATGAGCGAAAAGTATTGATGATACTTTTGAACGAAGATATAACACTAGACAGACTCTGGGTTAGACAATTTGGGAACTGGAGGGATTTATTCACAGACGTTATCAGAAGTAAATGTTACAGAAAGTCAGCTCAGTTTGTTTTACATTTTATTTTATGGTGGTTGGAACACAAGACACAAGTAATAAAGTTAGTAATGGTAACGTCATGCCTCATTCTGTGCACTGCCCATCAGGTTTAGTTCAATCAATCGAAACAGTAGTTTACAAATGCCAGACTGAGAATCCTCTTAAGACATAAATAAGATACTGAAAATAGTATTTGTACAGTAAATAGTATTTTTGTAGAGTCCAGAACCACTATTATCGAGGCCTTCTGGAAATTCTCATAAGCATTATTAATATAATTATTAACATTTATGAATTCATTTACATGATGGGAATGAGGCTAATATACTGGAAAAGTGAGAGAGCACAGAACAATATGGATATGAACTTTTGTCACCCATGAACGGTGAATGATTTTAAGGCATTTCTCAGTTTCCATTCACACAGCAGATTTCCATGGTGGTTCTCACCATGAGCCTCATCCCTTGAGAGCAAAGCTACTGGAGGATGTCAAAAAAAAATTATTACAAAAGAGATCGAAAAATCGAGTCCGCTGGAAAGGTGAAGGTGAGGGCGCTATACTAAAAAGGGTGCATGGTCCATACAGCTCGTGCAGTAACGAAGGGCTTCCGGTCCCGTCTGGAACACTAGACATCCTGTGACAACAAATAAATGATCGATTATTCCCAGATCCATCCCCTCGCTCAGGATATGCCGTGTAGAGACAAGTCAGACTCGCTTCCAGTGTATAATACTAAAACAAAACCTCAGTAACAAATTTACACAGGGCTGTACATGATGATGTTTATGATCTTGTATGTCCCAGGGTTTGTTAAAAAAAAAAAAAAAAAAGATACTGTGATACTTATTTGGAGTGGAATATTGCAAAGCATCTCGTATCAAACTCATATTTCTTGCACAGAGACAGCACCACAGCATTGCATTTCTCTTGGGACAGGTTACAAAAACCATTTTGACTTGATAAACCCATGCATTAATATTTTCACTGGTTACGTAGAACATGGGGGCCACAGTCATAGGATGCAAGGGGTCTACAAACATCATCCCTTTTTTTATAGCAAGTGCTGACAGCATTTTTAAAGCGACATTTTCATTTGATACATGATAGAAGAAAAAAAAAAATGCAGTGAAAACATGATTTTTGTTCGATGACGGAACATGCCAAGAATGTCAATGCTGTTTTTGTCCACCTGATGTGTTTCGAGTCTCTCATCTCATCCTGTGTTACAGCGCCTCCCAAAGTTGAGTTGCTGCAACGGGCGTTTTTCCAACACACACACACAACTTGAATAATCAGATGTCCAGATTGCAATGTAGTCAGCTACATTTCTGCCCTGAATGGAATGATGAAGATCAAGAAAACCAAGGCAAAATCAACTCAACACTTAAAAAGATGCATGCAACAAGTGGTCACATAGTATATATATATATAAATGTATATCTATATAAGTAATTGCTCTTTAGATATGCACAACACATGAGACGAATGATCGCAACAAAAATAGCATCTTCAAAATTCACAGTCTCATGTATTTCGTTACTATTTATTACATCTCACAGGTCAATAATGACGTTTGCATGGTAAAAACAAGGGTGAATTTTGAGGAATGCTAAATGTTACATCAGCTACTATCAGTTTGGGATTCAAAAGCTCCAAGTTTTGAGCTTTCACCCCTGTTAGTGGTATCATAAATGAGGAATATCGTACATGGTCTTGCTCAGTGTGTTTAACGGTTGCCGTCACGTGCCGATAAAGCGGAAAGTCGTTTCGTTTAGACCTTTTTTAATGCAGTAACGGAGAACAGCAACAGCTCAGAGGAATGTTCGGTGACGAGAGCTATATGGCACCGAGAGAAGGCAATCCAGACAGCACCGATCTCATCTGACACTGTTCAAGTAATAAGCAAGTACATGTTCTGTTGTTTGTCATAGAAACAGCACAGATGTAATAAGACTTTTTGCTTGTCTTGTGACACCATGTTCGCCGACGGTGGACATGATTATGATTGGACGCAAAGACGGGGGGGAAAAAAACACACGCACAAAAAAAAAAAAAAAAAAAAAAAATCATAATTAAAACAACGTAATTTTTCCAATATAAAAGGCAAAGAAAAGTATACAAAAAATAGAAAAATAATTACAGCAGTAGACATGGTGTTGGGAGGAATGGTGGTGCCAGGCTATTTGGCCGAACAGTGTAATATTTTGGGACTGTTTAAGGCGTCCTCCACCAGATGTAGTTCCACCCCGTCGACTATCACATCTTTCACGCAGCCGACAAAGCCTGTGCTGTAAGCCTTGGGCAACCGGCGGGCTACAGACAGCTCTTCCAGACCACCTAAAGAGGAGAGGAAAGAATCAGATCAAGTGTATATGATTATGATATACTGCACAGTACTTCATATTTCATTCAACAGACCTAAATAAACCATTTCAGGTGATCCAATCACAAGTGGGCAGCATGAAATGGGTTCAGTAGTAAGAAATAATCCATGTTATCACACTGCATTTGGGTCAATGATGCTAACTTGTACTGTTTATGAATTTTAAATGAATGTTTTTTTTATTAATAATTCACGATGTTTGTAAAAAAAAAGGAATTTAAATATGGATAGGCTTATACATACATTTATGATGGAGGGAAAATATTTATATCTTATACTCAACATGCCATTTTCCTGAAAATGTAATAAATGTGTTTCAAAACGTCATGAAACCAACATGAATTCAAAGAAATGTAAGATGTTGAATATATATATATATATATATATATATTATACAACTATTTTGGGGCACTCTTATATGTCACTGACCCACAGTATAAATGCATGTCTTTATGTAACCTGAGATATTACCCACCATGCAGACGAGCTAAAGCGCTATATATTATTCAAGGGGGATGAACCGTCTGCGTGTTATGAAAATCCTGTGTAGAAGACTGTTAAAAACTTAATCACACCTGAGACACTGATGGAGACACTGAGTGTAATGTGGGGGTGTCAGAATGTGAACAGATAGAGACGGAGCACTCAGGAACAGGTGGGAAGATCAAACGGTGTTTTTGGGAGGCCGGGCTCCGGGGACGTTCACTGTCAGCTCCGAATGAGAGTTAGCTCACCTCCCTCGGGGACCTGACACTGTCGGAAATCCAGCTCCGTCTCCCGCTCTTTCGGCATGCTGAAAAATGTCTCCCCCTGTTGCTATTTCTTTCTCAAAGTTCTCTTTCTCTCTTTTGCCTCCCCGCGTCTACCCTTTAATCGGATTGTATGCTTTGCTACAGGACGATTGACGGGGCTAATTTCAAGTGAATTACATCTGAATAAGTAAATAAATAATGACATTTGAAAGGAGGGATTTTCGGAGGGAGCTCTTGATGTTCGGGCTGTCTGAGGATAATGTATTCTAGCCACCGGGCATTGACAGCACCTGTTCTACAGGCTGGCCTTGTGCTGAAATACTTTTCTCAACCTTATAAGAAGATTTTAACACTGAACAAATCCTCTTTCTTAATCTTAATAGGTTTGTCAAAAGTGAATGAGATGTCAAACACAGAAACATTGGCGTTTTTAAAACACCCTTTGGTACGGACTCATCCTTGAATTAATAATGAACTGTAATAAGGTAATATTGTCTCTTTTGTGAAGTACTTGTGTAGCCCTTCAAAAGCACTCGCTGAGGGGGAACATCCAATTAGTCGTTACAAGCTAAGTGGGGACTATTCGGAAAAAGGTGTACCAAGTCGGTTTGTAAATGAGCTACGATTGAGCAAAGCAGCGCAAGATGGACTTACCCAACCAGAGAGCGCCGTCTGTGTCCAGCTGTGTGGCAGCCAAGGGTGATGACCCAGTGACAGCTGCCTCATTACCAACCTGCAGTGAGCCATCTCTGAGCGCTCTGTGGAGAGTAGAGAAGCAAAGGAAGACACTGACAATCTGATTCTACCTTCTGGTAAACCCATGGTTAATTTGCGGGAAACAAAACAGTAATAATGCGGGAAGAAAGAAAATTGTGGAATTTCACAGAAACACAAGATGTAAACAACACTGGTCCAGAGGCACTTCCTGTTTCAGTTTTTTAACACTGCATAAAAGCTGGGATAAAATACAACCAACAGAACATATAAAACTGAATCAAAAAGTTAAACAAACATCTTTAAGATGTTTTCTTTACATGTGAAATAAAGAAAACAGTTACAAACTGAAACAGGAAGTGCTTCTGGACCAGTGTTGTTTACATCTTGTGAAATGGTCTATAGCAAATATAACTGTCTGGCATTATTGGCAGCTAATAAACAGCTCTATGGCAAGCCTGAGGCACATATAAATGACTGTCACTGCTGGAGAACACTTCTACGGCAAAAAGTGTGGTAAATATAAATGTCCGCCATTAAGAAAACAGTTATTTAAATGATCATATTTTACTGTATTTTTGATCAAATAAATGGAAGGAAACACAAGCTTGTATGTTACTGTTGACAAGATCCGAGATGGTTAGGTTTTTTCGAAGCTCATCGTTTCTGTCATACAACAGGTCCGTTTTAGCCTAGAAATCTAGACACACCCTAGCGGCAGCAAAAATTATTTTGCAGCAAAGTGTGGTCTAGCAACTCTCCATAGACGTTTTAGCTGGAAAAACTCAACTCTGGTAGGGCCAATCACATCGTGTATAGAGTCGGCGGGCGGGCTTAACAAAGTGACGACAGAGTTGCGACGATAAGAGCAAGCTCGGACATATTCGGGTTTAAGTCGTTCATCCTCGGATGCGGCCGGCGCCGCGCGCGCTGTTACAAAAAAGCTTTTGCTTGACGATCAACTTGTCATTTTGTCGTCGAGGACAAAGGCTTTATTCCGTGTCAACGCGCGCTCTGATCGGTTATAGTGCACGGACCTCTCCCGAATCATCTCCACCACTCAGAAGCACCACTACTCCGCCTCCGTTTCCCTCGTAAGCTGATATTAGTATTTAAACATTCTCTATGATGTTATTTTTTTAATGACACACTTTCTCTCTCACACACAAACACACACTGACATACTGTCTCTTTCTCTCACACACATATGTAGGCTAGTTATAAACTCTTTAGACATTTAATGATTAGTGTTTTATTTTTAAAGTTTGTGGGTCGTGTAAAAAATAAAAAAAAATCCCTTATTTTGGGGATGTATTCCGGGAAATCTCCCTTATTTTCAATGTTCAATGTTGACAGCTGGACTGGATGCGGTAAAAGTTGAATATATCAACTTGCTCCGCTGAGTACGTCACCTTCTTCGTTGCTCTGATTGGCTTTAGCGCTATCCAATTGCGTGCAGAGAGAATTTGAAAGACAACCGTTTATCCGGCCCCTCGGATTGAGCCCTGTCAATGAAGAGTTTCCAGACCTAACATCTTGATGTAGGTCTGGCATGCCAGGCTAGGTCCATTTAATCAAACCCGCAAATTCGTTGGAAGAACAAAAATTAGCCAGAGACCAGTTATCACAATGAGAAGATCTAGCATCTGTTAAATCATCTCAGATATATTAAGCGAGGTAGGAAGAACGGACTCCATATCTCTGAAAATTGAACAGACGACAGAGATAAATCAACAGAACTGAAACAGCCTTTCGTGACATTTGAATTCAACAGTGTAATGCAGTCGCATGCAGAATACAGCGCAGCGATTGGACTGAACGACTTTCTTCTCATTAATAATCGCTTTGAGACCCTAAAAACACTATTGCGCTTCACTTTGAAACATGCAGCGCATATATTTATATATCTAAATCGTATCATTTGCGATTAGAAAAATCACACTAATATAGGGGTTTCTATTTAATGTTGATGTATCATCATGCAGCCCTAGACTAAATTGTTTGTTTGTGCGTCATTCACTGAAATGTAAATTTAGCTGCAGCCAGGTGACACTGCCTGAAGAAATATCTGCAACTACACTATGACAAAGCTGTTTTACCTGCTGGCCTTGATTCGTATCCAGCGGTTGGTGTTGACCCGTACAGAGGAGCGCAGCACCACAGGCTTGGAGCCGAGGTCATAGGTCATCTGCACGCGGCCGTCCACGATGGCGAGGGCGATGTAGTCGGAACGTTCTACTCCCTTGCCGCTCCACAAAATCAGACCATGAGTAGCCTCAGTCTTGATGCTCAGCTCGAATTTATTCACCAGCAGGGCCTTCTCACTAGATCAAAAAGAGAGGAAATGCTATCACAAATCCATTAATCACAGGACGTGCATCAAACCCTGAGACTTACCTGCTGTTTAATCAACAACAGTGATGGAATTACGCGTGAAAACGTAGTTTCGATTCAGTCAAAAACCCAGAGAGGGCTTGATAAGCTAATGAACAGACTGGGTCTAAACTAGGTCACGGTGAATGGGTTTTTGAACACGAACGCATGCGTATGCGTGTGTGAGAGGGCTGGTGACACACTTTAGGTTATAACCAAGTTAACACTTCCTATTTTGCCTTTAAGCTCTAGATTTCCTCTTCCTGCGCGGGGAGCGCTAAGGAAGGATGCCCATTGCAGCTGCCGGCTGATGTGTGTTTTGATCTAGTTCCCTGGATGCAGCCTTCTCTTGTAAGGCACAGAGAAGGTGACATCTGCATGTCCTCGGGGAGGACGGTGACAGGGAGCCCTCTGCAAGTACACACATATAACACCACAAAGGAAAAGCTGCTATTTTTACAACAATTCCTTTATTCTCAGTAGTGTACCTGTAGTCGCTGGCATCAAGAGAGCCATTATTTGAGCGAGCAAGCTTGTTTGTTAGTCAAAATAGCGAGTGTGTGGGGGCTTGTTTGCTAAATCAGGAAACATGTAAACAGGAGTAAGACAAGTAACAACAACACGGAAAAAGACAAAGACAAAACGGAGAGTGACAAGACAACGGACACGACACACAGAAGAAAAGAAATCAGATGGCGAATGTGCTCGCTTCTTCACACCACACCACGACGAATGGGTGTGTCGAACGCAATCAAACTGTGATATCATCAATGGTGTTTATCGGGTTGTACATTAGCTGTGTTTCCTCTCAGGTTGAAGCTCAGGTGAATAAATAGGCAGGTATGTTTTTGTTATCGCGAATTGAACCTAGAAAGAGTCCATTAGAACAATACGTGTTGTCTTGAGGAATGATTCATCTGAAGACGAGCCTGCCTGCACTGACAACTCAAATCACAATATTAGCAGCTCTACTAACAACTTGAGAATTGGAAAAAAAAACACATCTTAATTTGTTTGATTAAAAACACAGAATTTCATTATGTAAATGCTCTTGATGTGCCCGTGACGGTGTAAAGCCGAATAATAATTAGCTGTAATTGAATTCTTTCCCGATGAGACGCATGTAATGTGCTGACTGGACTCTTTCCACAGGCCTTCCCTTCGCACGGCCCCAGGCCAGGGCTTCGGCATCAGGGCAGCTAACTTTGATTATACACCACTCTGCTAAGCGCATTATTGCTTATGTCCCATTAGGATCTCAAGCATCTAGAACATTCTAAAGAGGGAAGTAGGGCTTAACTCTTTAAAGCTGGATTACATTTACAAAAAAACTAACACAAAACAGATCTACTTAAGGTATTTTATTTAATAAAATGCAAAATAGTGCGGTGCATTATTTTTTCATTCATAACAGAAGTCGTGTTTCACACTGTCCACCTATAGAGGGCAGTGGCTCACATGGGAATGGTCATTAAACACGTCTCGTATCTTAGCAGGCACACAGAATCTTCTGACGCAGAATTAGATGCTTTTTGTGTATTTACAAATGTTCTTATGCTTACCAAGGCTGCATTTATTTGAAATATAGAAATCATTCTAATATGCTGATTTGCTGCTCAAGAAACATTTCTTATTATTACTAATTATTATACATTTTTCCCCACAGACAGTATACTTGGATACACAAAGTAATATTTTGTTATATTGTCACTTTTATCAATTTAATGTGCCCTTTATATATATATATAAAAATCTTACTACACTATATATAATCATTTAAATAGTGGCTATCATAGAAATGTAATGTTTTAAACATTAGTTTTGACAGAATTAGGACATTAGCATTAATAAACACAATATTTTTTCCCCTAACTGTGTTTCTTCATAACAGTTCATTCCATCAACCAGATTCAACCTATAGAGCACATCACATATTGAATTGCATTCTGCACGTTTTGCCCCAAAATCAGCATAAAAAAGTGCAAATATTCCATTTAGGATTGCATATTAGACAGCTAAACATGTCTGAGATATATTACAAATGATTTCAGTGTGCAAGCTGTGACATGCTACCCGATAAAAGCCCTGGCCTTTAGCCTCTGCAGGGGGACTGAGTGTGGGAGGACGGCGTGCCATTGAAAACAGTTCAGGCTGAGGGGACTCACCTCTGGTCAGACGGGTTCTCCAGTGACTCAGGGCTTAGAGGAGCAAGGGAAGAAATGATAGGCATGCAATAAGTGCAAAAGGGTGGAGGGGAAGAACAGGGAGTGCACAACACACAGACAAGAAGACCTCCGCCAAGAATTTAGACTGACCTCACTAAATTATTCTAGAGTTTCAGTTGTTATGCCAGCATAGGCAAAGAAATAACACTGGGAGACTTTATCAGCAGTACCAGTGGTACTGGCACATTGTTTTATTTTTCTGAGCTGTCATTTGGTTGAGTTACTGCAATTTATCAACAATTCCATCACTCTCGACCAGTCAAGTGAGCGAGAGAGTGAGAAAAAGAGTAACTCTGTGAGTGTACAGTACATATATGTTTGAAAGACTGGTCGTAGTCGATCAAATTCTAAAACCTATGGAGGCAGCATTGATTCACTTAACTTTCATCATACGATATTCATCAAACTTATCATATGTTTCTATTGCACAACTTAAGATGATGGACAAAACGAGACATAAATATCATTAAGTACCCCAGATAGCAAACTGACATTGAATCAACGTGGAAATATGACATCGAAACAACGTTGATCTGACATTGTTTTGCTCATCGAATTAACGTTGAACCAACGTCAGACGCGTCATTCTTTCAAAACTAACGGAAAATCAACTTGAAATCAACGTGTTGTTTCAACGTTATGAAAGCAAACCAATTTTCGATTTTCATTTAGCTTTGAAGAATGCCGCGTCTGACGTTGGTTCAACGTTAATTCGATGAGCAAAATCAACGTTGTTTCAATGTCATGAGAGACGTCGTTTCCACGTTGATTCAATGTCAGTTTGCTATCTGGGACAGACAATCGTCGAAAAATAGTTCAGTGTAATTTAAATGAATTACTATTTTACCCAATATTTGAGTTTGCCATATTTTATGTTGTTTCGCTATAGTGTGCTGTTAGCAACATGCTAACCTCAAATTACTGAATTACTATTTTACCCAATATTTGAGTATACCATGTATTTTATGTTGTTATGCTATAGTGTGCTGTAGGCAACATGCTAACCTCAAACTACTGAATGAAAATTTTACCCAATATTGAATGTGCCATGGTTTTTTATGTTGTTTCGCTATAGTGTGCTGTTAGCAACATGCTAACATCAAACTACTGAATTACTATTTTACCCAATATTTGATCGTGCCATGTTTTTATGTTGTTTTGCTTGTGTGCTGTTAGCAACATGCTAACATCAAACTACTGAACCTTTTACCCAATATTTGATCATGCCATGTTTTTTTTATGTTGTTTCGCTGTAGTGTGCTATTAGCAACATGCTAACATCAAACTACTGAATTACTATTTTACCCAATATTTGATCGTGCCATGTTTTTATGTTGTTTCGCTATGGTGTGCTGTTAGCAACATGCTAACCTTAAACTACTGAATGACAATTTTACCCAATATTTTGTATTTTATATTGGTATGCTATAGTGTGCTATAAGCAACATGCTAATGTTAAATTACTGAAATCAAGTTCAGTGTCCATATGTCTGAGTGTGCTTTTCAGCTTCTTAAGATGGCAGCTGCCAATAGGCAGCAATGTAGCTAACTAATATTGGAACTGAGCTAAATAAGACACTTGTTTTTGTCAAAAGGCTGATTATATAAAAACACATTTAGGAACTGGTCACTGAAGGGTAAGAATGGGTAAATATTGATCCAAGGCTGCTGAGCTAAAGAGAATGAATAAAGACATATGAAGAGCACAGTAAATACTAACAGAAATATGACTCTACTCCCACAGATGGGGCGCCTCTATGCTGACGCTCTCTAAGGAATTCATTCATTTTTAAGGGCTCTGCTCAAAACCAGATCAAGCTAAATTGATGACACTCGTTCTGAAGGGCTGGTCAGCTTTCTTGGTTAAGATTAATTTTAATCTGGCACTTCATTTGTAGAGGAAGTGACACGCATTAAACCCCAGGAAGAGTGAAAGTCAATGAAGAGGGCCTTGTCCCTAACTGTTATTGATGTCAGCGGTGGCTCGCTTTCTCTACTGGACGGAGCCTCTTTAATTGCAGCCAGTTTTCTGAGAGACAAATCCTTGATTACTGTGCCACTTTCACTTTCATCCTTTGGCACAATTATTAGAAATCACTGGAAGCGATTTGACAAACAAAGTGACGTGGCTTAAAAGCCAGGCAGGAACTTTTCATGAGCATAATACATAACATAATTCCATTTAATCAAGCTGCAGCGTTTTAAGGGCTCAATGCAGCCACTTAGACACTTAATTACATTCAGAAAGAAGCAGATAATTTAAAATAAGAATCACTAAAAGGAACACTATAACAGATTGAACATTTCTCTAATGGGGCAGTAAAATGCCATTTAAGCTGTAAGTACAAACTAAATATTGATGTATATTGTGATTTAAAGTGGTGTAAAGTTAAATAAGTTGCAGTTAAACAGGGCTTCATTCTTTTTTAACATAAGAAAATACACAGACGTATTTCCAAAGTCAGTTTAAGTATATCCATGCATGATTCCTGTAGGAATCTATCACAATGCTCATCATCATTCATGCCAAGCATGCATTCCTGATACTGGTTTATGATGCAGCTGATGAAAATGCAACCTTTCCTGGAAATAATATATGTAATAGATGAGCCCTGCATTTTTCAAAAATGTTTTTCTGAATGTGATGTAAATGGGAGTACAAGGAAAAGACCAATGCTTTATATTGGGTTAAGTTGATGGTTTGTCTTAAAAAAATGTTAGTTTAGCTTATTTAAATACATCCCAGAACGTCTTTGGGTTACTTACTCTGGGATCTCATTGGTCAGTTGGCTTGAGAGCAGAAGGAAGACAACAGACACTCAAATGAGACAGACAAGAGCAAAGACAACAGAAGCCATGTGTACAGAGACAGACAGATTGAGACAAACAAACACACAACACATAACAAACTGGAGTGACGCTGGGTCCTACATTAAGGTTCGGCCCATGTTCAGCACACTAGTTTGTGAAATAAGTGGTAAGATGTGCATTTCACAGTGGTATGATCAGTCGATGTGGCAGTGAAAATCAGCAATGATGTTAACACCTGTCTAATAGAAACAAAATATATATTTATATAAAAAAAAATGATTTTGTACCGAACATATACTTTTCTAGTTGTAAAAATAAATGATATCAACTGATTTCTATACAGCTTTATAGTTTAAAAAATATTGGCTTCTTAGTTAGCTTTACTTAGTTATCCACTTAATGTTAGTAACCTTTAGTGTAGATATCTACTACACTCACTTTAAAAATACTTGAAATTATGAGTAGCTTTGAAAGACCCATTTTTGAACCCATTTTTGATGGGTTCAAAAATTCAATCCTTTCTATTCGAAACCAAATAAATGTTGACGTAATTGGTGCTTGCTGGACCACTGACACATCAGACCAACCAGAGGAAGAGAAATCATCTGATAAGTGAAGGAGGAAGCAATTATCAAGACACGATCATCCATGGTGCTTTAGGATATGTGTGGTAGAGAAAATGTGTGGTTTTGAGATTACAGCGATGGTGGAGGAAGGTTCATTACAGCCCATAAGCGTGGTACATCGCAGCGCAGTCATGAGACTCCTTCGGGTGCTACACTAATTGGAACCAGCCAGGGTTCATGGAAACCAAAGAGACAGACCAGTGGAAGTGGTAATTGATGAGATCAGGCCATTAGCTAAAATGAGGAAGTACGTTGGACCTTAAATGAGGCTGGAGTAATCTAGCTTGTCATCACCCCTCATTGACTGCTAATATAGAAATGGGATGCTCAGGGCGGATAGTGATGATTGGGCAGGCCGTTGACATGAGGACGTGCGCCTGTATTACCTTTTGGTGACTCCGTTGTGATATTCGATGAATGTATGGCCATCAAATGCAATGGCCTCCATGTCCCCAGCAGATTTCTCGAATATTGCTGAAAGGCAAGAGAGAAGACAAAGAGAAATTACACCAATCGAAGTGAGACACAGCACTGTTTAATTAAAGCAAAGGAGGAAAGCGTGATATATCGCAGGCTTCACGCTTGTGTGGCTTAATTAAGGTTAAAGATACAACAGTAGGACCCAGCAAGGTTAATGAGGTGAGCAAAATTCTTGGGTTTTGTGACTGTGCCAATGTGAGTTTGTGATAAGCATACAAATCGCGCAAGAACGCGCAATGACTGATATTATTTGTGAAAGTTTGGAGGCGTGGATTTAGCTAAATCTGCACACATGGAGCACATGGATTGGCTAAAGCTGCCATTTCTTTTAAGTAAGTCGTATGTTGATGTATGCTAAAGACGAATGCAAATCTTGCCTTAAAGGAGTGTGAAGGAGTTGGAGGAGAGGCTGTACTGGGTAATACGATTTTGAAATAAAAAAAAGTGATGAATTAAGGCACTTACCGTCCTGGCAGTGTTGTCCGGCGAATCCGTGGCGGCAGACGCACTCATAACTGTCCAACTGGGGGTTGCAGCGGCCTCCGTTCTCACAAACATCATTAGAGCAAGGGTGGTAGGGATACATGGACACATCACTTGATTGAAGGGCATTTTCAGCTTTCAGGATTGGAATTCCCATCAGAGTAATCTATGGACACAAATATAGGTTTAATATAGATATAGTTTTTTTAAATCCAAAAACTTATGAAGATTTTTTTCATTCTGGCAAGTAACACATTTTTCTATTCTCCATTTATTTCCCAATGATTAAAATAAGGTTTATTCTCACTAAATATCACGTTTCACTCTAAAATGCATCACTAGATGGAAGCAAAATGGGTTTTAAATGGAAATTCATGACTTTAATGCATCTGTAAATGCTCTCACCTTCTGAATGGCCCCTTTAAAACCATCTTTGATCGCAGCAGCTCTGGCTACTTTGCGGAAATCAGGGGCTCCGCCCACAAAGAGCGACTCCTTCAGATTAAGATCTGTGTGCTGATTCTGGAGAGTACAAAATAAGCATGAGAAACCAAATGAACTGTTCCCCATCCTCTATTCACTCTTTTAGCTATCACACTTTAATGCAAACCTTAACAAAATGGCTATACATTTTTATGGGTGATCTAATAGAGCAACTGCAGTAAAAAGAAACCAGTGTAAGAGAGGATGGTTTACTGTACATCAGCAGGTTTATTGATTCAACTATCACACCTAATCCGTATCCACATCAACGTGAGTGTTATATTACAAAACCATAATAGATTTAAGCTCAGTTCTCTGAATGGTAAATGAGTCTGAATCTAACATATATGACAGGAGAAAAAAGGGAGGAAAAAAAGTGAGAGATAATTGAACCAATTGAAATGAGGACGATTGATATGGATGGTTTTTTAATGAAAGAGTGTAATGGATGCCTGATTGTTCCTCGGACCTTTAAAATCTCAAGCTGTAATCTCTAATTGGTGTATCGCTCACAACGCAGATGACCATGAACTAAGCATTTCTCCAACCGGTGTGAAAATCGCTTTAGTTACAGTGGGATATTTCTGCATGAGGCTCTACTTAAAAAGAATTAAAAATCTTTATTTTATGTAGGCCAATAATTGCCTTGGGGGAAAGGCAAGTTAATTGCTGGGAAAAAAAAGATGGGACATCAACAGCAATGCCAGTTTCTGACGTGTGGTCCAGCTCTCATCCCAGTGATATAAAAAGAAGAATAGCTGAGTACGGATAAAGGCAATGGCTTGAAAAGCTTTGGCTATGGAACCGGGGGCCAGTTCAAGCATGTGGTTGGGCCAAGAGAGCATAGCCATGAATGTTTTCGCCCAGCTGCTGTTTCATCAGAGACGTGTACAATGAGAAGTCTTGACATAAAGATGCAATGCACCAATTGCCACAGGCTGGGAGAGGCATTTTTACTCTCCTGTTCTCTGCCAAAACGAGCTGAGACTCAGATTGAGCAGGTGAAATGAATACCTAACTGCCAGTGTTTTTTTAGGAACCTTCCCCAAGGCCCCCAGAAGCATCATGCCCACTCAAACTGGCACGAGCCCCCCTCAGATTTCTGAGCCAAGAATTTGAATGCAATTTCCAAGAAAAAAATCCATCTTCAATAATTAAGGTACATGATTGTTGTAGGTAAAAAAACAACAAACAAAATAAATAAAAATTACCTTCGATGGTAGAAATGTTTCCAGTCTGACAGGGTAGATCCTACGCTATCTCACGACCAATTCGTACGAATTCGACGAATGATTAAAAAGTGTCTAATTCGTATGACCTCACTCGTACGATTTGTCTAAACCCACGTGATGGATAGGTTTTGGGGCGGGGTAAGGGGTAGGTCATTCGTACGAATTCATACGAATTGGCCAATTCGTAAAATATGTACGATTTAGCAAAATCGTACTAATTCGGACGAGTGAGGTTGTATGAATTGTTACGAATTAGCCACATTTGAATCATTCGTCGAATTCGTCCGATTTGGTCGTGAGATCGGGTTGGGTAGATCTCTATTGAAAAGTCTATTACTACCAGAAATTCAAAGCTTCTTGACAATGAAATACAATGAAAATGATGCCTTGCTATAGGATTCAGTGCCTGAGTATTATTAATGGTATACCAGTATTCAAAAATTAAGGGTCAGTAAGAAATGAACACTTTTATTTAGCAAGGACGCATTTAATTGATCAAAAGCGACAGTAAAGACATTTATTATGTTACCTTAAATAAATGCTGTTATTTTGATCTTTACTTTATTTATTTTTTATCAAATAAATTCAGCCTTGGTAGGCATACTTCATCAAAAAAACAAAATCTTAGCGACCCAAACTCTATATACACATAAAGTGATAAACATATGAAGAGTTCAGATGCAAAAGCCTCTAAATGCCATTTGAAATTTTCAGTAATTTCAGTAATTAGTAATTTCACTTAAATGACAATTAAGAGGTAATCTTCATTGCCATTTAAGTGAAATTACTGAACTTAAATATACAAGCTTGATAAAAATGATCATTTTAGAAGAACATTTCAAATGGCACTTAAAGGCTTTTGCATCTGAACTCTTCATATATATACACATACACTATACACCATACATTTTTGGATGCTAAAAAGAAACTCTACCAAAAGACTATCATGTCTCACACTTAAAAATAGAATCTCCTTCTCTTTGGTCATGTCATTGGTACCACCTCAAACAAACAAACAAACAACAACAAAAAAGTGCATGACACCCCAGAAGGGTCCAAAAACAAATGTGCCAAAAGAACAACTCCTAGCTCTGTACCACACTCTCTTCCTCTCATCTCTTTCTTCTCTTGACAACACATCCCTTTCTCTCCCACGCCAGCAGCCTTTTTCTCGCAGTCTACATCCACAGTAAGGTGGTTTAATGGCCCTCCCACGCGAGACTAATGAAGACGTTTCATTGTTGTTGGAAGGGTGGTGAAACAATGGTGGTCAAATGATAACTATCCCCCGTCGCCCCCATACCAGCTGGTCTGAGGTGAAAGCTAAATCTCTCTGTGTCTCTTTCCATTGGAACTGTTTCAAGAGAAGAAAACAAAAAAAAAACTCCCCTCCGATTTGTTTGATCCTATACCAGATCTTGACTAATGGACAATGAAGCTGAAATGGACAGTTGCTTTTGGTGGGAATGAGGATGCTGATTTCGAGAAAGCGAGTTCAGACTTTAGTCATTACCTTGCGTGATTTCTTATATCCAGACAGCACACAAAAAGAGCACAGGGGAAGGAAGAAAAAAAATGTTACCAGTGAAGAAAACACAGAAGATGTCAGTACACATAGAACCACATGCAGTAAACTATAAGCCTGAGGAATAAAATATTCACAAGCCTAACTCAAGCAAGACACTTAGCATGCAGGTCGCAAATAAATAAATATATGTATGTGTGGATAGTGCCTCAGAAACAAATGTTCAGAGTAAATCAGAAATGGCATTAAAGTTGTGCAATGTTTTACACTACTGCACCCACATTATTTATATTTGCTTTGTGATATGGCGGTGTATATTAGAGTCTGTTCAGTGGAACGGCAGAGGCCATCGAGGCAATGTGAAAATATTTCTCATGGGGGTTTGCTTCGGGCGGCCCCTTTGGAACAAGACCCTTTTGGTTTCTTCACATTTTTCCCTCTCTCATCCTCTTACGCTCCGCTTTAATACGATTTCCCTGCCTCTACTGCTGCAATGAAACACAATTATCATACGTAGGAAGGTTTAATGATGGAAAAAGGCACACTTAAGTGCCTACGCGCAAGACTACATCAAGCTAATCACAAATTACACTATTTGGAATAACTAGACTAGAGGATGAGAGAGAGTTTCAAGATTATTACATGGCCTCGATTTGTGAACGAGAGCAGCCTCATTGTTCTGCTGTCGTACTTTGGGTTTGACACGAGCTCAGGCAGAGCTTGCTGAGATTGATCTGAGTGGGTGCGAATCTGTAGCACAACAGACAGAGTCATTTCCACATGGCAATTAAAAGCAAAGGGAGGGCAGAGATAAAAGACCAAATATACTGTACGACACGTAAAAGGGGGAAGTTTCGAAAGCTTCCCACACATGCACACCAGACCCTGCGTGAAAGGCAGACATTGAACTAAACTTCAAAGAATATGCAAAACAAAGCATGACTCTCTGGTCAATACCACTTAGCATCATGGTAATATCATGGTTTCTTTGAAAAGAACCATGATAATACCATAGTATAGAGGTGGGCAATATAACAGTATATAACAGTAGACACGATAAGTTACCAGATTACGCAATTACGCTTATGTGATGTTGCTGTGTCTAATCAATCAATCTCAGTCATGAAAGCTAATCATTTGAATGTGTTTTTAAGCATTGCAGTTATAAAACAAGAGAAGTGCCATAAGCAGCGAAATAACTAATTTACGATACACGCGCTGTCAGAGAGGTGGTTTCTGAGCGCTGTCAGAGAGACGCATGCACATAAAGCCAAGGCTCATACAGCGCACAATTACTTAACGGAGTTCTTTTTGCCGCATTTTTGGGCTTGAACGGTCAAATACACACACTTATGTGTCAAAATACTTCAGTCATTTAAGTTATGAGTGAACGTAAACATTTAGATGTGTAACAGTAATATACCCGTGCATTCGCTCTTAAAGTGACAGCAGACATTCTGTCATTAATATTAATCAAACAACAAAAGAGAAAAAAACTAAAGATATTTTGAAGACTGTTGGTAACTATACAGTTGACGGTAGCCGAAGTACAAGGAAAAAAATAATACTATAGTATGGAGGTACATGGCTACCGTCGACTGTCTGGTAACCAACAATCTTTAAAATATTTTATTTTGTGTTTAGCGGAAGTAATCCATATCCCTTATATATATAAAACTTAGTCATTCTTGTCACCAATTTCAATATCACAAAACTTAGGCTAGTGTTTTGTGATATTGAAATTGGTGACAAGAATTATAATAACATTTCAATGGTCTCAAAAATTTGGATGCCATAAAACCTTATTTATAGCAAAAATAACTATATTGTGATATATATCATTTGGTCATATCGCCCACCCCTATATAGCCTTATCTGAAATGTCAGTATCATGGTACATGAATATGGTAATCATTCAATTCCATGTTATATAGTGGTGTCAAAAAGTCTTTTTTGTTTTTCATTGCAATTTAAAAGTTGATTTGAAAAACTCATTATGAATTTGTATGTAAATTCTGTAAAGAATGTATGTGGTATTTGGTTTGTACCTCTTTTACTTCAATTACAACAGCACTTGAGCTGCATAAACTTCACAAGTTTGTGTCAAAACTGATGATCATGTTCTCCAGCATTATTTGAGATGATCTACAGACCATCACAAGCTTCAAAAGAAGAATCATTATTAGTGTCACAAATTTACTTACTGGATTAGTCACCTATAAATAGAGCAGAATCTGAAATTCTTCGTTATTTTCAGCCAAAACTTTTGAACACCACTGTATATCAAAGTATCATCACAGTCCTTTTTCACAAGGAGGGAACAGCTAGTTTGACTAGTTCTTGTTTGTGGCCTTTATTGGGCAGCATAAGCATATGAGTGTTCTCATACCGGCGCCTCTCCTCTGACGGGGTCTTTGCCGTTAATGCTGATCTCTCCCTTTCTGCTGGCTCGCTCCAGATTCACTGTGTTCCACTCGTTCAGCTTGATTTTTTCTTTACTCCTGTGCAAACACAAAAAGGTTATTTAAAGTTTATTTGCCCCTCTTAATAGCAATATGGAAATAAACCCAAAAGCCTCAGTTTTATAATAGGTGACTGAACACAACACATCTGAATAATTTGAGTTTAATTTAATTATGAATATAACTATACAGTGTTGTTTACCTAATTACAGCCGGCCCTTTGCCCAGGTCATATCTAAACTCTAGGATACCATCATTCAGGGACAAAGAGATGAAATCTCCTTTGCCGTCCGTCTTTTGACCATTGTAGAAAATCATGCCTTTGGAGTCATTGGCCAACAGAACGACAGTCATGCTGAATTTTTGCCTATGGACAAATAAGCATAGTTCAATTAGACACTTAACAGGGGTTTTACCAAAAATTAATGTGAGAAATAAGGTTCATTCAGTCTGCAAATCTTCAAAATGGCAGAAATAGATGGACTAATTACAGAGTAACAGCTCAACCAATCGAACATCAGAAACAAATCCAACATGTCCGAATCTGAATTAACTTGAAATTACTTGCAACATGAATTAATCTGTGAGGTAGAAGAAGCATAATTAAACCAGTGGTGTTTACAAAGTATTTTTTTTTGACTAATGAGAACAAAACTTTAACCGAATTGAGCTGGTTGATGACACCACTGTTTTCTGCAGAATTAAATTACGTTTGCATCACTGATTGTGTATGTGGACTTTGCCTTCTCATTTCACCACATACAGTACCACTAATATAACATTATTGTTTGCAACATCAGCGTCATGATCATAATACATGCAAAAAGCAATAGCCAATATGTAACGTAATACCTCAGATCCTGGCCATAGAGATGAAGGCCTTTGAGCTCCAAGAAAGAGTCACCAGTGAAGTAAGGAATGAAAGCGCCTCCCTTGTCTGACACTGAAAAATATGAAAAAAATAGATATCATAATGTGTTTGAGATGGGAGGGTTCTTCCAATTATGAGACCAGACAGTGACACAGTATATTGATCACACATACACATCAACACATAGCACTGTCACACAGCCCAGCATGCTTCCTGCAGTAATTACACAGGATGAGCGCATGCTCAGTCTGGGATGGCAGACCGAGATTAAAAAGCTAATTAGCTATTGTTTAACACAGCAGCAGCTTCTCTATTCTACAAGAAATCACAACAGGGTCATAATGGAAACGACAAAACAGAGGCCAACTTTTCTGCACTGCATTCAGTTTCTGTATAAAGATTAGACAACATCCAAAACTATAGTATAGGACAGGCCTGGTGTTTGGTAAAGTACTGACAACCGAGAAATCGTTCCTTTCAATGCAACTGATAAACAACTCATCACAGATCTGCAGTACTAAAAATCAAATAATTAAATCACATAAATTGAATCAATAATACATGTATCAGTTTACTATTAAAAAGTTACTACCAATGAATATATATACACTCTATATTTTATAATGTAATTTATTCCTGTGACAACAAAGCTGGATTTTCAGGAGCCATTACTGACTCCAAACTTTTGAGCGATAATGTAAATAGGTAAACTATTTATTTTAAAAACTAAAAAGGTTTCAAATAAATATTTGATGTAACTGCAAAACAAATCACTTCACAAAACTAGTAGAAACATTTCTTTGTCATTTTAATGTCAACATGATATTGAATTAGAGCCCGATCGATAAAGGATTTTGAAGGCCGATACCGATACAAATATTTTTGGGTTTTAAAATCCGATATTCCGATATATCGGCCGATATTTTATTTATTTATTTATTTATTTTTAAACTGGACATGATAGTCACAAATTTTATCATGCTTATTTGAGTTAAGAGAACTGATGGTGATGTTCTTTTAATTGTTATTCAAGCAATGTATGTATGTATTGTGCCCAACTAAACGAGTGTTGCCAACAGGAACAGTGTAGAGTGCCTTCTGGTGGACAAACTATACAACTCCAACACTCATGACATGACTCAAGCGTGTTTCGTCCGTTTTTATTTTATTTTTGAAATATTAATTTATCGGCCATTATAACTGCAGATACCGATAGTTTGGAAAATGCCTAATATCGGCCGATAATATCGGTCTGCCGATATATCGGTCTGGCTCTATATTGAATCTACTTTTGTATTGCATAAACCTATAGACCATTTCACAAGATGTAAACAACACTGGTCCAGAAACACTTCCTGTTTCAGTTTGTGACTGTTTTCTTTATTTTACATGTAAAGAAAACATCTTAAAGATTGATTCAGTTTTATATGTTCTGTTGGTTGTATTTTATCCCAGCTTTTATGTAGTGTTAAAAAACTGAAACAGGAAGTGCTTCTGGACCAGTGTTGTTTGCATCTTGTGAAATGGTCTATTGGAAATTAGCATAAGCAGTGCATTAAGCATTGTTTAGAAAACTACCATGCATTTTTTTTTCTAATTGAATATATTATATTTTACTCTAAAATACAGTACATAACATTACGGAAGTAAAGAAGTAAAAGGTTGCAAACACTTTCATGTTGACTACAAAAATCTTAATTTCCAAATGGCAGCTAATGGTTGCATCATGTTTTACTTTCAGTACTTTAGTCCAGCAGTGCTTCAGAAACAATAATGTGTTACTCCTGAAAGTCAGTCTACAAGTAAATTTCCTTCTCTTAGCACACTGCTTTGCATTTTACCTTCAGTTCCCTGACGAATTCGGATTCGGTGCTGGTCAGTCTCTTATTTGAGAGAGCCACTCTCCCTGGACACTTTGCCCGACTGACTCCCCATTAATCATGATGTGCAGCTGACTGATAGAATTACTCATCTCATTGATTCAAGCGATAAGAAAAAACACTCTGGCTGATGGATGCGCTCAACTCATTGATTCTGGTTCACCTCAATTTATTTTAATCACTCGCTAATTTAGACTTTCTTAGACGAAAAGGTGACTATCTGGCCCCTCTCATTTGACAGTTCTGCGTTGTACAGGTGTGTGGATGTATGTGCAATGACACCACAATCCCAGGGGCCCTCATGAATGATGAAACTGGTCCCACCCAAAAGCAGTGACATCACATGAAATAGTTTAGCTGATACAGACAGTAATGTTACTTCACGATAGTCAATGAAAATGAAGATATACTGTAGGAGATTCAAATTTTTAACCAATCAGTAAAAACTTGATGGTGAAGGGGGAAGCTCTATATACAGTGTGACAGTCAGGTTACAGAAGTGCTAAATACCGGAATTCTCCTTTAAGTAGACAGTCTCGTCTCTTTATCTTTTTGTCTGATTTTCTAATATTTTTTGGTTAAAATCAAGTCAGTAATGTTGTGATGCACCTTGTAGTCAGTTGGTTTGGTTAATGGCTTAAACTCTTTAATAAATACTGGAAAAAAATAATGGGAAAAATATTCCCAGAATTAAGGCCACTGAAAAAGTGGGTGGGCAATGTTGCACTCTATATAGCACGGCTGCGCAACTCTAGGGCTTTTGGATCTAAGCTCTGCAGGAAAGTCGATCTCGTGGGCCAGAGTTGCCCACCACTGCTATAGGCTAATTTGACTTATATATTATTGGCCCATGGCCAAGCGTATAGGGCAGGACTCCCGGGAGGTGTCCAATACGCCTGCACACATGTGTGTTGCTAAACCTTTTACTTGGTTTCCACATTTCTAATGCCTGTGATCTAAAACATCTGTAGGAATTTTAATGAGGTGAGAGAGGGATGCGCAACAGAGCAAGAGTGCTAATGAAAGCTTCGGAATGGCACTAGACTTAGGCATCCTTGGTTAGGGTCCAGCTCCCAAAGGATGTCCGACTACTGAAATCTCCCCCACATTGACCTACCATATGTTTGATTTTCCAGCCTAGGATGGCAGCTCAGACATGGTATAAAAGGGTAAATAATTTCACATCACGTCCCAGATGCCGACTCTCCATTATATTAGCCGATAAAAACCTATTTTACAGTACGGTACCCACTGGAAACCCCAACTGGAGAATCTCATTTTTTTACACTCCACCACAGCCTTTTTTAATCCCTCAATAATTCTACAGCAAATATCCGAGTCAGACCGGTCGATCCTGACAAAAATCAATACTGAAATTACAACTGAGAAGTAGCGGTTATTTCAGTCCTTAGTTGAGTCGATATGCTCATTTACTGTATTTTTACAATGATTTAGTACTGTACCTTTTTCACAGTGCTTGCCTTCACGTCCCATTGGACATTCGCATTTGTAACCTCCCTCTGGAAGAACCTGGCACCGTGATGATGGGTGGCATTTATTGGGGTCGCAGGGGTTGTGGGCGTCAGCGCAGGTCGGACCTGTTAACAAAAATGGATGTTTATGTGACTTAAACAAAAGATGAGAAGCCACTTGAGGAGAAATCAATCAACTTCCTGTCAATCCTGGCTAGTTCAGTCACAGATAGTATGAGGAGGAAGAGATGGATCACTTGCAGTGAAATGAATGGGAGAAAATAACATGGTAAAACCCTGCCTTTCAATTAAAAAAGCCAATTACTTTTATGACAGAGTGTGTTCACTAGAATTAACTAAAAGATATAGTAGCAATCCCCTGAAAATAGAGTTTTTAAGCATGATTTAAGCTAAAGAACTAAATTGATTGCAGACTTTAGATGCTATTGAAACACGATTTTGACAAACAGTTGAAATTTAGCTGCCTAGGGGTGTTACTAAGATGACTTTTTTTCACCTATATAGGGGCCTTTTTGTAACAGGATTTTGAATTATTACAAAATTTAGACGAGGGTTGTGTGCGCTCCTGGTTTGAAAGACTGAAAGAGCTTCAGGTCAGCACTTCCAGCCTCATCAGAACATTCCCATCATCACATAGAACATACTAGGAGATCACGCCACGGGTGGCAGCGGCAGCACACTGTAATGAAAGCTCCCGTTGTGTTCCGAGACGTTCTGCTAGGTGTCTCTCTCTCTCTTGCTCTCAATCTATAGGCCGCTCTATCTCAGTTATGCGGCGGCAACCCTCCAACTTACAATCCTGCTCTTTAAACATTAAAGGTTATCCCACATATTTATCCCCCTAGCCAACTTCTTTGTGAACACTTCTACTTCAAAGGGTCTTCATTTTCTTACACATCTCATTGCAGCCATTCTGCAGTACAGAAATAAAGTGGAAGATATTGAACTGTATTATTATAAAGGTTGTTCAATAAAGGCTTGTGAGCAGAACAACAGAGCAATTTACTCTGGGCAATATTTTAAATGTCTGGAGCAACACAAAAAAACCTCTTGGATGTGAACAAAAAGTACACCGTAACTTCTGCTCTGTGAACGATTAATACTGTTCCTTATGATGTGAATAAACCAGAAAACTTGAGAAAGTCTCATATGTTCACCAAGGCTGCATTTCTTGTTAAATATTACAATACAAACTGTAATGATGTGAAATATTATTACAATTTAAAGCGTTTGTTAAAATGTAATTTATTTCTGTGATGCAAAGCTACATTTTCAGCATTATTCCTCCAGTCATTAGCATCTCATCTTCCTTCAGAAATCACTTTAATTTGCTGCTCAATAAACATAATTATCAGTGATGAAAACATTATTATCAATGTTAAAAACAGTAGTGCTTTTCTAGTTCTTAATATTTTTATGAAAACCAAAACCAATTTAGGATTCTTTGATTAATAGAAAGTTCAAAAGAACCTAATTAATTTGAAATTGAAAACCTTTATACATTATAAATGCCTTAAATGTTACTTGATCAATTTGATGCATCCCTACTGAATAAAAGTATTTTAAAACCTTACTGACTCTTGAACGGTAGTGTACCTTGTAATGCTGATTAGATTTGTGTAATACTGTATATGTTGTAGGAAAATTTGGCTTAAAAGTACAGTAATACTTAAGACATAGCTTTACTTTCTGTTCGGCATCCTCATAGCAAATTTGTTGGCATTTTACAGTAAAATGGCTTTGAAAATCAAAAATGTTTGTCAGGCTTGGTATGAAGATGACCTGAGCCAATTTTGTTGAAGATTGGACAACTTTTGTGTGGCAGACATTAAAAAATATTAATCACAACATTGGCATAAGGTATTAGGAATAAACTGTCACTGGAAATACTAAGACCTGCCCTAAAGGTTGTACCAAATCTGTTTTTACCATTAAATTATTAAACATATATATATATAAATATACAGTATATATATATATATATATATATATACTGTATATTTATATATATATATATATATATATATATATATATTATTAACTTTTTAACATGTGTTCTTCTGTTGTTCTGAAAACATTGATGATTTGACAATTCACTTTCAGGATAGGGAAAATGTGTCTTTCCACAAGTATATTCAGTACTGGTAAAGTTATTTGTATTCACTCTATATTTGTCCTTGCTGTCTTCATATCGTTGGGTAAACACTCATCTGTCTTACATACCCATAAGGCTAAAAATTGATTAGACAAGCATCCTCTGCCCTCCTGAATCTTTCATCAATACAATACAAATCCAGATATTCACTACTGGAACAAAAGAGTCACGGCAGAAACCTTTTATTCTTAAAAAGTTAGAGGTGAATGTTGTCTTTTTTGCACCACTAAATGGAACAACAATCTGTTTTTTGAGACAACACTTAACCAATTAAAGTGTTTGAAATGTTCATACTTCATCTTTAATGTAGCACAGAAAACAATAAGATCATACATACATAAGTAGAAGACAATACTTGTGCACCCACCAGAGAAACCGTTGACACATTTGCAGTGGAACATCTCGGCTTCTTTGACCTGGCAGGAGGCTCTGTTCTTGCAGGGATTCGGCAGGCATGGGTTGTTGCCACACTCGCCAATGGCCGAGCCATATAGAACGGTCCCGCCATTCTCTTGTAGGTTAAAAACGAAGTTGTTGACGTCCAACATGCGGACGCAACCCACAAGGCCTGTTGAAACTGACGTCCTCTCCTTTACACTGCACAAACAAAACAGTTCTCCTTCCTTAATGCTCATCTTAATTCTCAAATGACATGGAAAATGTAACAACAGCATGAAATCATATATTAAAAAGATAGATAATTATTATTGAAAAAAAGACACTCTGCCTAACTGAGAACACATGGAAAAACATTCAATTATATCTCAAGTAGTGTTCCACAACATCTCTGATTGATGCTAATTTGATTTGGCTATTTCTGCCCAGTCTTATTAAGTCATATTAGTTGTTCTGGCAGGTTCCTGTAAACATGTGCAGTCAGTCAATGACTTAGGTTATTTTTCTCCATTATGTTTCATTATGGCTTCTAACAAGACTAAAGAGGCTCTTGTTAGTGTTATTTGGAGGCGTTCTTGAGATTCTCTTACTCTACTATCATGTCTTCCGGCACTCCTCCGATGAAAAGGTCTGTGTCCAGGTTGAGTCCATCTGTTCCTGGGGGACTTTGTCCTTCAACCATCGGCTCATTGTCCACGCTCAGCATGGCGTTACGCCTATTACGCACAACTACGAGCTGATGCCAGCGACCCGGCTTTACCACGACCTTACTGATAACTGAAGCCGTCCCAGAACCAGTGTTAAACCTTCATGTAGGAAACATTTAAGAGGATCATCACAAATTAAAATGGTTAACGGATCTGGAATGGACATGGAAATCAATTTTTTTCCAACCCTAAATTAACTTGGTTACTTACCTAAGCTCCACCTTTCCTTCAAATAATGCCAGAGACAGGAAGTCCTTTTTGCTTTTTTGGCCATTGTAGAGCAATATCCCGGTCATTTCCGAAGCCCTGAACTCCATGGCAATGCGCACAGTGTGGTAGGCCCTCATGGTTTGGAAAGCCATGTAAGACTTTCCACCGAAGGATGGTATGAAGTACTTTATAACTGAGTAGGACAGAAGGTAGAAGACAGATAAAGCAGGTTATCAGAGACTGTCAACCAGGACTTCTGCTCTCTACTGGTAGAGCAACAAACAAAACTGATAACAGATAACGCAGATACCCCTTCAATGGTACTGTAATGTGCCGTTCATGTTGTGTTTGCTACATTCCCTAGTCTAGTGTGAGAAAACATAAAACCTGCAATCAATGATGAGTACAGTAGTTCTTCTCTGTTAGACATTTACATTCCAGACAGAGAATCCCCATGCTCAGAAACGTATCAACACCTCTCTCTCTCTTGGCTGTCTCTCACCCTTTTCTCAAGAGAATGCAAGGCTGATGAAGCCTTCTCTCTTCATCACTCTTTAATGGCCCGATTGATCAGAGGAAGAGTTTGAGGGCTGCTTACAAGCCTTTAATTAGTGGCTTTTTTTCACCTCACAGCAGTTTGATACTAACTAAAGTTCATCAATGTAATTAGTGTCAATTAAAACCTGACACAGCTGCAAAAGGTAGTTTCATATCTCAATACCACCAACAGAGACAATGAATTGAGCTATAATTTCCTCAGTGTAACAGCAGGACTGCAATTTAAGGTTCAAATCATTATTGAATCTTTTTTTTTCTTCTTCAAAGGATAAAAAAATGCCAAAATATGAATAATTAACAATAAATATTAACATTGATAAGTAATACATATTCAATTGTAATTATTTATTTAATAATAGCAGATTAAAATATATATGAAATATTCAAAAGTGCTTATTTTGTGCGGTTTTGTTTTTACGAGAAAGAAAAGAAAAAAAATAAAAGATACTAAATAAAAGGATCTTAGGTCTTTTTAAATAAATTAAAATGTATTATCAATATATATTTAATAACATTATTAAATAAAAATAAATATTAATGGTAGTATTTGTTGTATAATCGTTTTATAAAAAAATAAACATCTTTTTGCAGTATTTTAATATGAATAACTACTGAAAATAGGAAATTAAACCATCAACATTCAGCAGTAATGAGATGTATAGGAACACATTTACAGAAGAAATGCGTTTAATTTTCATGTAAATGACAATGCAAATAATAAATCTTGTAAAATGGTCCTAATTTTATTTTTTTTTTATTATGGAAAGATGCATTTGTAGACCAATGTGTTATTTTTTTTCCTTTTTAACCATTCAGTTCATTCATTCATTTATTTTTTCTAGTTTTTATACTTCTCCTCACCTTTCTCGCACACGGCTCCTCCTCTTCCAGCGGGACAGATGCAAGTAAAGTCATTGTCCTCCTCCTCGCAGGTTCCGCCGTGACGGCAGGGCTGAGAGTCGCACGGCCTGTTGGCGTGGGCCACCGGTTTGTTGCTCAGGAAGACTGTGGTTGTGGGGGCCTGGGATGGAGTGGTGGTGGCTGGTGCTACTGTGGTGGTCCTGCGGCTGGTGAAGGGCCGTCTGTTGGTGGTCGTCGGGCGGAGAGTGGTAAAAGCAGAAGTGGGAGACAACGTGGTGGTGGTGGGAGTTGTGACAGACGCCACGGTGGTGGTGGTGGTGAAGAAAGGAACGGTTGAAAGACCTAAAAAATGGAGAGAAGGAAAAATAGGTCAATAGGCCCAGACATATTTAATTCTTCACGAATTAAACCGAGGATGAGAGACATTCAGTCTGAAGTTCAATAAGCAAGTTCTTTTTGAGTCCTGCGGGCACTCGTGGTTATCAAATGCCAGCTCGAAGAGCAATCTCACTCAACAAAAGGCAGCAACAGAAAAGGAGAAAGGATGGAAAAGCAATTTCAAACGGGTTACCATAGTTGGTGATGCGAATGTTCTCTTCCTCGGGTTTCTTCACAACGATACCAGTGTCTTTAGATGCCTTGAGCTGTTTGAGAAGGGCTCCCTCAATATCCTCCACGCTGAACCTTGTGTCTGTAGAACGAGAACACAACATTAAACATGTTGCACAGCAGAGTGTGAAACACCAGCACAGACCCACCGTCCTCACACTTGACATAACATACTGCAAATATATACAGAAAAGCCTGCGTGTAATAGGCCCTTGGGAGAAGAAGCAGTTCTTGAACCGCCATGCATTTCAGGGACGTTGGGATGAAACACTCTAATAACGCTTCCACAGATGGCCCTGTTACTGGCCACCACAGACCGCCTTTATGACAGGCGCTTGTGCTAGAATTGTTCTCTTGTGCCGTTGAAGGGGACCAATAAAAAGAGAATAGGGAAAGAGATTTTTATCAGCTGGTGCGATGCTCGGAGGTCTTAAAAGCATGAGAAGAGATGGAGACCGTAATAAGCTTTTTTCAGAAACCCTAGCTGATAAATTACCTCTCTAAAAAGGCCACGCACTCTGAACGCTTTCGCTGCCAGAAAAGACGAGAACAGTATCTTTAGGGATTCTTTTACTTAACTTATATGCCTTATTCTGTTGTTGAACTATTATTTTCTTCAAACATACAAGGGGGTTTTTATGTGCTTTTTATTTCTTGCCGTAGGCATGTTTCTAAAGGAGCGCAGACTGAGGGAATTTTGATGTGAAGGGAGGGTATAAGCCGGACTTTGTGCTTTGTGAGCTAGAGCTGCTTCAGAAATAAATTAGAAGCAGCTTTAAAAAAAAAGAAAATAAATAAAAACAGGATAACGAAAAACAGAGCGACTGGGGAAGACAGATAATAAAGAACATTGTGCATCATGCAGTAACTAAGCGCACTAGTATTTTTAGTATTCACTGAGCACATGCAATCTCATTTAATTCAGATAAATTCACTGAAATATTTGAAGCAAGTCACTACCCCATTGTATATTACATATACAATGCAATACAATGCAAACCATAAATCAGATGTACTTATGTACGTTAACATACCTATGTCCAGCAATCGATTTAAATAGTATATTGTGTTTAATTTGTTGTTTAATGAGATCTAATATGTGATTTTTCATGTGAACAAATACATAGATCCGACAGTAACACTCATGCACTTTAATGGTCCAGTGGCAGAACTTGTCTCGCGCACAGTTTTCACAAGGACGCGCTCTTTAATCCATTGTGGAGACTCTCTATTTGTTCCAGTGAAATCACAAAGTAATATGCACACAAATGTGTCCCTGCTTGATATACAACCACTGATAAACATTGGTTTTAATGAGAAAAAAAAAAACTCAACGTGCTAGATCACCTCTAATATAACAAACGAACAAAATGAATGCTCTGCTAGTTAACTAGAGATGTTTTATTTATTTGTATTAGTTACATCCGTGCCGTGAGATTTTTCAAAAGTGGTGGGGACAATATCGACCCTGGCAAAAAGTGGTGGGGACACGTCCCAGCTGTCCCACCCGCAAATATATATATAAATATATATATATACTGTATATATATATATATATATAGAGAGAGAGAGAGAACAGTTGGGGTACAGAAACTCAAGTCTATAAGTGTTACTGGTCCTAATCTGAACCAGATCAACAGGCATGGGAGACAGGCAATGGCTGTGAGTTTTGTGCACAGCTCCTACTAATTGGCCTTTATTATACTTACTGTCCAAAACCCCCCATCCCATATCTGTGATAACTGGACCTCATTCAAACCAGCGTAAACCAGCATGGGATGTGGGTGTGCTAACAAGGATGCTAAACACAACAGCCCCTAGCATCAGTTGCTAGTGTAGGTTTACTTAAGTAAACAATCTTTAAGAACAAACTTTGGTGTAACTTTACCTGGGTCAAAGTGAGCCTCGACAAAGGCTATTATGGAGTTGCTGGGGGCCAGATTCCTCACACGGACACTCTGGAAGTCTTTCTGGACATCTGACTTGTGGAACAACTCATTCAGCTAGAGAAAATAAAAGCAGAGAGAAAGTAAGACAGAGAAAAACAAAGAACTAAATGCCCAGAGTGCAGTGTGTGAAACTGGTAATAAGCGTGATATGCTGATCTAGTTGTAGTTAAAACCAAATTCCGCCACAAGATGAAAAAAGTGTGTCAGCGGAAAAACTCCAGTGAACCCCATCGGGTCTCTGTGCACAAATTGACATTTAACTACAGCGCAGGAATAATTACATGAACATGTTTCGAAGTCAGCAGTAAATGTCAGGTTACAACACTGCCCGTTTAGAATCGGCTCCGTTTCCACCTGGGTACACATACCGTAGGAGGGTTCTGTCACTGATTTGGTGCAACGTGAGAGGAGCTTAGTTTTAATACTTGCTTTTATTTTTTTCTGAAACCAAATTCACCTTAGTGCACCTAATTGATCAAAACTAGAGCAAACGATGGTTTACAGTTCTAGTGCTTTCTAACCGGTGGTAAGAGTGCCTTAGCAGGAGGTCTGTCGTCGAGACCCCCATTCAAGTCACCCAAGATGCCTTGCATTATTCTTCTTCACTCATTACATTCACAGCTGCACTTGAATTCAGAAAAGCACAGAGTTGTCGTAGACAAAATGGTTTATGCCTCAAGGCCGACCCTCAGTGAGTTCATACAGTAGTACATTTGGAACCATGCTGGGCAAGAAAAGAGAGGAGCAGCTCCCTCCCTCCCTTCAAGCCTCACTGGAGAGACCCTCAACAAAACCAGGCTTCCCGGCAAAGCCGGATGGACACACTGACCCAGAAACTGGCCGCTCTATCCTCAGAATCTGTGGACAGGGTTGAAATCAAGTGGAGGGAAAGACAGGGTGGAGATATACAGGCAATAAATGAGAGGAGGTGCTCTGTTGAACCTGGGGGCATCACACAGAAAGAAGAAGCAGGAGTAGGATACACGCAAAGCCAATGAAACCCTTGCAATTGCTGCTTCTGTGCAGCCAGTGGCCCCATTTGAGATTTGGACTTCACAGAACGAGAAAGTGAAGTATGGAGGATTAGTTTTCTGTGTCAGGTGGAACGCTCATAAAGAAAGGCTGATTACATCCTCGCTTTGTCCCTGTCGGGAATCTCGCTCACAGCACTAGCTAACATTAAAGTGATAAGTGAAACTCATTATTGTACTGCCCTTCATTCCCAGACACGCCCAAAATGGGTTAACAAGTCGGGAACAAATCGTCGGCTTCTTCAGCAGTTGCCAGCAGGTAGTGTGCAGTGTCAGCTAAAGAATACAAACTCTGGGAAGGAGGCTATAGGTTATCAGGAGACACCGACCATGATGATATTGTTAACTAAAACTATTACTATCGTTTTTGGTTATTAAAATCAAGCTGAAATACCATAAAATATAAATATTAGATGAACAACTTAAAAATGTTAACTTGGTAACTAACTGAAATAAATACAAGTGTAAGTGTTAAAAGTATTAAATACAAAAACTAAAATATATATATAAAAACTAAATGACATAATTATAAATATATAAGAATAAAAATATAATAACTAAAATATTTAGAAAAAATTAAAAGATTAATAATCACTATAATTTATATAGCTAATACTAAAATAATAAGAAACTAAAATAAATATATTTTTTTATTTGGTATTTGTTCACTATTACTGTTAGTATTACTAAATCTCACAAAACTGTCTTCTGACGCAGAGTAATGGTTAAATTACCTAAATAAATCGACTAAACTATAATAGTAATTTCTTGCTAGAAATAACATCAAGAGTGAAAAACGGTGGTCAAAGATGCGCATTTGTACAGAAACTGACCGCCATCTGCAACTTTCAGATGCCATCTTTATTTTATTGCTCAAATGTCACAAGATTGTGGGATATCAAAGGCAGCGAAGGAAACATCTATACCGTGTCTTCAAAAATCATTCTGATGAAGGCATCTCAGGAGACAGGAAGTGAAGCTAACATAGGATTCCGAAATGCCTTCCTGCCTTGGAATGCATCCTCCGAAAGCAGCAGTTTACAGCTTTCGGACACAGCCTAGTAAGTATTGTCTTTTTTTGTTCCCCTATTCCTGCTGTGTATATACTATAAATATTTCAAATAAATCATTAAAAATATATATAATTTAATTAGAGAAAATAGGTCATTTTGGCAAAGTATTAACAACAAAAATCAACATTTTTTAATTAGAAACAATCTCACTGAATTCAGTTTGAAGCAATGTTTAATTTAATTAATTAATTGCCATTGTTTTAATTTCCTTTATTTATAATTAAACTAATATTTCACTGTGTAAATAAACACACGCCCGTAGCACTCCAGTTTTTCTATCATTAGTATTTCAAGCATAGTGAATTATTTCATTAGTATTGGTATGGGCTACTGAAATGTTGGTGACGACCACTGGGCTATATTTAACATCTGGATTTGTATTGGGTTGGGATTTTGCACAAACCTCCAGATCAAGTGTCTGTATTTTATTGTTAAGCTAATGCACTGCTTTCCTAGAGACTGTCAGAACACCAGACATGTTTCTTCAAAAGACGTACTCAACCTGTTCCATTGGATAATTCCACCAATTATCACAATTGATTCAGCATAAATTCCCAAGCGGTCAACCTCAAGAGAAAACAGAACTGGATTGAGAAATAAAAGGTAGATACAAACAAGAAAAAAACCTGTGATAAACAAGAAACTAATCTTCAATCGAGTTTGAGTTACACTGCTACTTTTTGGGGAAAAAATACTTGCATGAAAAGCTAAAATATTGTGAGAACGGCTGAGCTACTGCCACAATACTGAGAAATGTAGCAGCACTACCTTATGTTGTTTTATGTGTTTTTTTGTTGTTGTTGAAAATAAAACTTCTTTTCAAAGCTGAACTGAAAGTGAACTCAAGCTGCACCACTCACAGCGCTCTCGATGCTCCGGGCCGTTTCACCGAACAGTTCCGACTTGGGGTCGTCCATCTCAGGCGTGTAGAAGACCTCCTGACCCTCTACCTTATCCAGGTGCAGGAAGCCACTGAAACGCATGGTGGCTGCGGGACAAGGCACATAGGGTTACATAAAAGACACTTTAATGAAACGCACAGTTCCAGTCCACTCTGAGCTACACACACTTGTGGTTGGTGCAATGCCAGTCTGCAAGTTAGTGATGGAGCCTTTGTGGGGTTAGTTCATCGAGTGGGGAAAGAGAGGTTTGTTTGCAGTGGAGGTGGAGGTATAGAAAAGCATGTAAGAGTATGGACGATGGGTACAAGGAAAAGGGCTTAGAAGGGAGGATGGACTGGAGTTTACCAGACCGAGACTCTTCCCAAAAGCTGGCATGGGGGACTGAGTGGAAAGAGATCGGTTAGACAGCAACACTTACACACATGGCACAATACATCACAAAAATTAGGTTAAATTACACTTTCATAAGCCCTGACTGGGGTCGGGGTGATCATTTAACATTCCTTTCAGGTTATTGCTGACCTTTCTTCATTGACACTAATAAGCGGAAAGAGCGAGAGAGGATCAGAGGCCCGGTTTTACATGACGGAGGGAAATAAATAATAAATAAACGACTGAAGGAGAGCAGGGAGCGCGCATGGTGCTGGGTTCTGTGCAGCATGTAATCAGCTGAACAAATTGCCCAAATCAATCATGCCGGCCAGGCTCCAGCTTGGCTGGGATCGGGATAAGCACTTGTATGATTATCGTGAAAGATAGCCGTAATTGTCTTCTAATCCCAGGAACGGGTGACTGACAGAAGCTGGTTAAAACTGCATGATAAGGGTCTTTTTGCACAGACACACATCACTACGTATCTGATGGGACTTTCAAAAAGGAGCAAATGGGGGAGATTCTGAATGTGAAGAGAGACGGAGGGAAACTGCCATCGGATTCTAAATCGGAAACATCTGAGGACAGGAATTTCCCACGGAGCGCAAAGACATGTGGCGGCATCAGGCTTTAGAAGTGGATTTAAATTAAAGTCCTGAATTTCCCACCACACTATGGCTATGGTCCATCATTTCTAGCATGTACTCATCATGTCTAGCACATGTCCTTATCTTTAGTTACAAAGCGTCCAGATGGCTTACTAGTGTACAATGAGCTATTTCATTTTAATTTACACTAGAAATGCAAATTCATTCTTAACTAACATTTGAACTTTTATGCAGAGGGATGGGGTAGAAGCATCTAAGCACCCTGGTTTAATAGGCTTGGAATTACTACAGGACCAGAGAGAATTATAACATTAGCATGATTCTAGTAGAAAAAGAATTGTAAAACTAGACTGATTTATTTCAACATGATGTAATCAATTATAACTTAGTTAAACAGTTAGGTTTTCACTAGGGAGGCGTAATTCCCCTCTCTAACATTGTGAGTAGGCTGCACTGTTTGCTGTTCTCAGCTTTCAGTGAAACACCTTGATATGAGCGGGAGTTCTCCTTCACTTAGTGCTTGAGAGACATGGGGAGAGCTCGAGCTGACAGCAGACACTGAACGCAATGGACATTAGTGCCCTCGCTCCTGGCCGCTGTGACACATCGCCAATAAACGGTGGGGAGTTACGAGACCCAGCTGACGGATATGAGAAGAGACGTGAGCACTTGACCTAGTGTTCCCGTACAGAGAACACAAAACATCTGCCTGCTTCTGGTTGCCTGTCGTGTATTGATTAGTCTCTATTGTGTGTAATTTCTGCTCTTATAAAACAGATGGGGCTGGTGCGAGAAATAGGTTTGCTGGTATATTGATGCATCTGGTCTGATGCCAGTCAGAATACATTTTGTACAATTGGTTTATCCATTTGCTACGGCTACAGACGCAAAACCTGCTCCCCTGCATCTGGGATACTCAGGGTCCAAAATGAACTGTTTATATACACTACTGTTCGAAAGTTTGGGGATAGAAAGCATATAATACTTTAATTCAGTTAGGACACATTAAATCGATCAAAAATGACTTCATTTTTTACAAAATATTTCTATTTCAAATTCAGAGTTTCTATTCATCAAAGAACAAAGCAGTACAACGGTTTTCAATATTGATAATAATAGCATATTACAATAATTTCTGAAGGATAATATGACACTGAATTCAGCTTTGCTATTTTAGAAATGAAATACAGTTTAAAATACTGTATATTAAAGTAGAAACCGTTACATTTTAATGGCTGATCCTTCATACATACAATTCAATTTCAATCATGTTTTATATGAATTCCTGGTGAATAACGGACCATTTTTACTTGCATTTGGTGCATGGTAAGAGCAAAACCAACATCCATATGAAACGTCTGAGATAATATATGCTCATAAAATGTAGTTTCCCCTGTCATTACCAACTCCCCCTCCTCACCATCCTCTCATTCTTTCAGGATAAAAAGAAAATCGCTGTTGGTGGCATAGTCATTGAGATGGTGACAGTTAAAAAATGAACACATGTTATCATCTGTAGTATAAAATAGGCGACACTAGGTAGAGAGTGATTGACGGGAACTTACAGGGGCAGTTTGTGCCCTCAGAGCTGATGGCGGCTGTCTTCCCATCGGGACAGCAGCCGAAAGGAGTGTTGTCACAGGAGGATCGCTCCTCGGCTGTGGGAAGTGTGGTAGTTGCTACTGTTGTACCTGAAGAGAAAGATGAAGACGTCACACAAGCAGATTTCTATGTTGGATTGTTCTAGTTTAAATTGACATCTCTGTTTGTATGATTGCAAAAACAATTAACATGTCAAGTCGTGGAGACAGAAAAATGATGGTGCAAATTATTACAGAGGCAGACGGCTCTATGGTTGACTATTTGATTTGCAGTAAACAATCTGTGAGTATGTTCAAAAATGACTTTTATATCTTTCTTGATGTATTCCTACTTTAGATGCTCATTATGCAAAAACTAACAATAGCTTGTTAAAATGGTCTTGGCTATGGAGCCAGCCTCACACCTACAAGTATACATCCTGAAGATTAGGACTGTGGGTTAATATCTCCTGCTTGCCAAACAAGCCGTAAAGCTGTCAGATGTTCAAGGGCTCTGTGAGTATGAGAGAGGCAGCGTGTGAACGAGATAGTGAGTGGTGGAAAATGACTTTTGGCATGGAGCTGGAAAGCATCCCTGGATGTCGTTTCATCGCATCTGTAGGCAAATTTATGAGCCGCTGCCCCCGAGATGCACGCTGGCGACCACACAGCTTCAGCCTTTCAGGGTATTGGTTCACTGGGAGGCAGAAAGTCATCAGGAAGTCTCAAGAGATGCCTCCCACTCCGATGTCAGACAGACTTCATGTGTCCTGCGTCAAAGTGCGCTCCGGTCCAACAGTGACAAGAGAATAAATCTGAGGCCCTGCTGCTCTCTCTTATACTAGTTCAGGCAGTTAAACAGTGTGTGTGTACTGTAGAACTAGCATTGACTGAATAAAAATAGCTGGTCTACTTCATGTATTATGGTGGTGAAGGGCACAAAAATACACTATAATACACAAAATTGAAGTTTAGTGGCTTTTGGGGCCCATGACTCTTCATTTTCTATGCTAGTGTGCTGAATTGTTGACCAATTGAACAGATCCATTTAGAAATGGGATAAAAAAATGACTTCTAAACAGGTGTTTGCAAATTTCCGTCTAAAAATGCTCTTTAGAATTACAAATTCCCTTAGCTCTAGTTATAATTTGTGTCGTTGGCCGTGTTAACATCATAAATTTGTGATGTTTTGGGCCGCCAATGTACAATTCTGCCCAATATGCAGCCTAAACGACCTTTAGAAGTTGCTTACTTATAAGGTTAGTGCACGTTAAAAACCGAAGCCAGACATTTCTGTGAATTATTCACCGCAGTGATTCCAAATGAAATTGCTCACTTAGCAGTTGGATGTCAGGTGTCAAAACCTCTCAAATAATGGCCGCTGAGATAATGGGCAATGTTAAATTGATATGCCATTACAATTCGAGAAGAGGTCATCTCACACACAAGGTCAGTCCATACAAAGGAGAATTTCATCATCTCTTGTCATCTGTTCTTGACAATTATGCCTAAACCTCTTATGACTGAAAGATTATGGTGAATGCATTACCAAGTGGCTCTTCTCCGCTCTCCTCCATTCCGCTCACCATCTCGTCGTCCCCACTGGGCTCTCCACTGCCCGACTCCTCAAAGTAAGGGCTGGAGTCCTCGGGTGGGGATGAGGTGCGGGGTGGTTTGTAGGGTGTTGTGGGGCGGTGGGTGGTGAAAGAGCTGAAGAACTTTTCTGCCTCGGCCATCCTCGGTGGAGGCAGTGCCTCCACCACGAATCTGTCCACATCCTTAAGAATGGTGGTGGTGGTGGTGGTGGTGTGGCCATGGCGCTGTTTGGTGATCTTGACGTAAGCGGTGGGAGGGGTGGTGCGGTGGGTGGTTGGGAAGGGGGTGGGTTTGGCCATCAGCTCAATGGATTCTGGGAGAAAGCAGGAATGGAATGATGGGTAAGCATAGATGGAAATGTTTCTGTAAGCCTTCTTTCTCACCTTTGAATTCTACCTACACCCTCCCACCCATTCCTCTTTGCCATTAAAACAACAACAAAAAGAGCTTCAGCATGGTCTCAGCAAGGGAACATTTTCCAGAGCAATGCTTTGTATGTCTCACAGATTCAGATCCACAGAAACACCAGGAATAAACCCACTCCTGCCTACAAAAAGCATCATGTTTCAATCATATCACTTAAGCTTCATTACACTCCAACACCTGAACCCCTGCAAGGAGCCTCTTTTGTAGTCAGGATTATTTCACCCAAAAATGAACATTTTGTCATTTATTCGGACCTCATGTTGATCCAAACCAGTATGACTTTCTTTCTTTCGTAGAACAAAAAGGAGAGATTTTGAATGAATATCCTCGTTGCTCTTTTCCATGCATTTACAATGACTACAGTACAGCTTTCAAGCTTCAAAAATGGCACAAAAGCAACATAAAATTGTCTAAATGACTAATATATTCCTAGTCAGTAAAATCTGGATTAGTCACAAATGAAAAATTCAGAACTTATAATAGAAAAGATCTGACTCAAAAAAAAAACAGATTCATTCTAGTATTAAAAACTAATGAGGAGAGCTAGAGTAGACTGTCAAGGTTTTTAGTGAATAATGACTTAATAATGATGAACTCTGTCATCATTTTCTCACTCTTATGTTCTTCCAAACCTGTAAAATTATTTGTGGAAACATTGGTTTTTATCACCGATACATTGCTCAAACTATCTTCCTTTATGTTCCATTGAAGAAAGATAGTCATACAGATTTTCAACAACATTAGGGTATAAGTTTCTACACACAAACTATAATATGGCCATGCTACTCTTCAAACCTCAGAGAACCTTCATTTTTGGGTGCACTATCCCTTTAAATTACCCAGAAAACTAATGAACTGCACAGAACCAGGTTGCTGCATTGCATCTTTTTGATGTGATTCTTTGAGGTTTTTAAAAACTAGGTTTTCTGCAAGCTCAAACCGATCATTACCCAGACTCTTGACCAGAAGTGTTTATATACTACTGGGTTTCAGACTGCAGAAAACGGTTGATCTGCGAGAGAGTGTGCTTGTGCGTGTGAGAGAGTGCCTGTAGATATGAATTATATATACATATTCAGATGTTGCCCTCCTGTAGGGCGGCTTTAATCACAGACAGCCAGAGCCTCTAGTGATGAATGATTGATATAAATAGGGCAGAAAAGCAGGGTTTAGCTGCGGCTTCAAAGGAAGCCCTCACTTCATGAAGGCATCCGTCGACGGTCCAACCACTGCAGCCTTGTCAACACACTCGCAAATCTCTCCACTGCAGCAGCTGAGCTCAAACTCAGAGACATTACCAAGGCAAGAGCCTTCATCAAAGATGAATATTTAAAGATCGCGAAGACAATAATAACTGGTGTGGACGAACTGAGACAGATCTCGCCACAATAGGGACCGAGGGATCCACGCGCCCAATCATCCGTGGCTTTGTGCTCAACTTTAACGGATCCCCCGTGTACAGGCTAACTGCGCTTGGTCGGGAACCTGATAACACGCTAGCACAGCCTCTTAATTACATGCTAATCATCTCACATTTGAACAGCGAGTAGCTGACGAGGTGTGAAATACGATACCTTCCAGAAATACTAGTTCTATCAGACCGGCTGTCACAGCCTGGGTGAGAGGGAGTGTGTCTACACTAGCTTTGTGCGGGAGAGCACCGATGCTATCGCCGTTTGTCACGGCATCCGTTTTCTTATTTCGACTCGACTGCACCTGTCATTCAGGAGCTCAGCGTAGCGTTAGCATCAGGGGTGTGGGATTTGAGTCGCACGCCCCAGCTTTGGGTTTTGTGACACAAATACGCGCGCTGAAAGCGAGCAGCGGCCAACGGGAGCAGTCAGCTCGCCTTAATCAAGTTTAACGCTCCGTTTGGTTTTCAGAGAGGCAGGGTGAACAATTAGGAGACGCAAAAATCATTGTCATCTTCAGTTGGCATTGCCGTATACTTACTCTTGAAAGGCTGTTATTAAGATGGCTTTCTGTCTTTTCGTACAACTTGTGTTTTGGGCGGAAAATGAAAGAGGTGAAGAGAGAAAGAAAAAGGCAGGGAAACTAAGAAATGAAAGGGGTAAAGGTGAAACAAGTTAAGCTCTATCAACAATGTATATAATGGCATTAAATACCACAGTAAATAATTTTGACATCCTTCAGTTAGTAAAAACAAATATATAACCTGACTATTATTCCAGCCTCAAGTTTATCCATACTGACAGCAGAAATATCCGCGACACAATACAATGACCAATCAATAGCATAGACAGTAAAAGAAATGGACAGAGCCATCTCATTGGAACTCCATTGAGACGATTGAAGCCCGTTTTTGGCGATTTTTTAGCACTTCCGTCCCTGACGCGCTGACTCAAACAGAGCTTGACGACTTAGATGTGACAAGAGCAAACCGTCGGTCTTCTACAGGGCCATAACATAAGCTACAAGGTAATGGAGCCTTTTATACATTGTCGTGTTTCTTTAGAAATAAATAAAGGACAAATGGGGTCTTCAAACGGCTCAGATGTAAAGTTATTCGCTGTCAAAGTGACGCCAAAATGAATGGGAGTCAATGGGAATGCTAACGCAAGTCAAGTTCTGCTACAAGATGTCAGCTCCCGCGAGGCTTCAACTTCCGGTCGATGGATTACCCCCTTTGATCAATATAGAGCATAAGTCCCGCCCCTCCGCTTCCGGCTCATGGGACCTTATTTCGGAAAAAAATATGTGTGGTAGTCAATGGCGAGAGACAACTTATCTTTATATTCTGTCTGAACTGATCCCTGAATCACACATATGATGTTTGTCAATTTAAAAGATAATTCTGAAAGTCAAAAACATCACCGTTTGTCATAAAACAGAATCTTGTAACTTTTAGTTTTATGTGAGAATCGCTCAATGAACTACATCTCCCAGAAATTGAAACAACGAGCAAGATCCGCTGCTTGTGTGTGTGCAGTCTGGTACAAAAAACTCAGGCATGACGGCGTAACATTATGATTATAACGTAAGACTATAGAAACAATGACAGACATTAGCCTCAGTAAAGTTACCTTTATTCATTGAGAGAAAATGTGCGCCTTTGGGGGTTGTAGTCTTTGTAATTACGTATTTTCACAGTCTTTCACATCAAACGGCGACTTTCTTTACTTTAAAATGTATCTTTTAAATTGACAAACAACATATGTGCAATTCAGGGCCTAATTCAAACGAGATCAAAATATTTGTTGTCTCTCGCCATTGACTACCATACAATATTTTTCCGAAATAAGGTCCCATGGTGGTCGACCGGAAGGGGAGGGACTTAGACTCTCTATACATTGCTAAACTACTGTTTGTAGAGCAGAATTCCCCACCAATGAGATTTAACGAGGGGTGGGACTAACCAATACAAAATATCAAATCAGGGTACATCACAGTAATTTACACTAATGCTCATGCCATCTTTTTTAAAACAGATAAATTCTTATATACAAAATGTGAGTTTAAACGTCGTTGTAGTAGGCAGATAAACTCCAGGTTATACAAAGTAATTCCTGTGGGAGGATTTTTCACTACGTAAATAGTACCTTGCAGGGGTTCCCACCTTTACATGGTAATAAGATAAGTTGAAAAATTGGATATAACTTTATCCAGACAAGGTTAATAAGCACTTTTATCTCAGCAGACCATCGAAACTGTGTATTTTAATGTCAGTCTTGTTGTAATGCCTTGGCCCATGGATTTACATTTTAAGTTCATTTTTGTGCACATTGAGGGATGGTTTGAAATTCTTTTCTGTGATATGACAGAGAGATGGTTTTGAACCCGGAAAATGTTGTTTAGAACCAAAACGATAACCAAAACTAACATCTCCGCCGAGGGCCACCCGTCCCATATGCCAATGTGTAGGCTGCCAATTTGCAGCAAATGTACAGGTGATGACACCATATGCGAGTGCAGGGAACTGCCAAGACATGGACTCTTGATGAGCCAAAAGTTTCTCAGCCATTCCAGACCCTGAACACCCTACGTCATGTACCAAGATGTGCCACTGATTGCCTCATCTGCTGCCAGCTATGGCAATATTAGGTTTCATAGCACCGTTTGTCATCAAGAAGAGTTGATGATGGGTGAGCATCAAAGAGATCAGCGGGAGAAATATAGAGAGAAAGACAGGCTTTCGGCTAATCCACATCCAGTCACACGTGAAATGAGCTTGTGATCTAACCCCTCCACCTCAGGGCTGCCGAGCAGTCTGCAGCCCGGGCCTGTTTTACCCCACAAGTCGGAGAAGAAATTATTAAATAGCGCTGCTGTTGCCAGGTCCGCCCTAGGCTGGTGAAGATCCAACCTAAGCCCGCTCTTTACTTCCTCCCAGATCCCTGAATACACACAGAATAGTTGCTGGATTCTTCTCATACAGGCAGGTGACGCCAAAAAACAGAGCAAGACAGAGAGGTGCTCTGCTTAATGACTACAGGGATCGATCGTAATCTCTAAACATCAGTTTGTTGTGTGTTGTGCCATAACCAGGCCCAAGTTTAATCTGCCAAATGTGAGCCGAAAGCATAATCAAATAACTATTCAGTCAACCTCAATGGCTGTTGAACAAGAACTGATTGGATGCTGACAACTAGAGGTTGACCAATATGTTTTTTTAATGAATATAATAATGATAAAAATTTACTCAAATCAAAAACTCAAATTGCAATGCAAATAAGTGCATAGATTTATAAACTTTGATAACATTTTAATTTTTATTAAATATAATACAATTCAAATTTTAGTAAATCAGTACAAAAATACTGCCTCATCAAAATGGCCAAATATAAATTAGCTTGGCTGATTTATTGGTCCATAACTAGTGTTACATGCCAGAATTGAAATAGACTGATTTTTTTTTTTTTAGCTATAGCTATTTGGAGAATTGGTTAACATTACCAAATATCCTTGGTGACATTAGCAGAAAAGGAGGGACATTTCAGAGGTAGAGTAATTTCAAATTTTGATTAAAAATAATAATGGATTTTTTCCCTCTTAAATAACATGCACTACTGAATTATTCAAAATAACAACGAGGAATGTGCATTACAAGTAAATAGGGTTGAAAATGATTTTATGTTGAAGACAAGGATTGAACGATTTTCGAATTTCGAATGAGTTGACAGAGAATCCTTATGGACCTGGTTACAGCTATGAGAAACAATGTAACATATAGTCGTGTTAGATCAAGCTGCAGCAGTTGACAATGAAACCGAATCTCTTATGTGGCATTAACAGGTCTGACAGAGTGGCTGCATGGGCTGCTGTTGGGAATGTCTGGCCCTGATCCAAGAATGGGCAGCTGGCAGTGTCCACCATGAGCCATGCCCATCTCGGAGCAGCTCTCTGCGGAGGAACGCCTTCTGACGTGAGCTGGCACATACAGCCGACATGAAGTCTTAACCTTGGCCTTCTACCAGGTTCCTGTGCCCATGAATGTACAGAGCAACCGATCAACGATTTAAGAGAGAAGGGGAGAAATGCCTTACTCTTTGCACAGCTTGCTCTACCCAAAGCAGGCCTCCCGACACATGAGCAGCCGGATTGCAGGTGCTTCGCTCAGACTGTGCAGTTAACTCCCAATAATCCACACAGGGGTGATGCAAATCAAACAGCTCAAATGTCGCCCAGTTCCAGGGGATTCAAAGACGCCAGCCTGAAGCCAAGCAGCACGGCTCTATCTGCAGGGGAGCATCTGTCAGGCAGCTTTCCTGTCCCCTTGAACATCAACCCCCCACACACCCACAGACTTAGTGACCCCCTTCCAACCTATGGGCCAGGCAGTTTTCCCAAGCAACCCGGAAAAACTTGATTTCCTAAATCAGAATTGTTCTCTTTATTTCCAGTAAAAACATCTGAACATCCCTAAAACAAGATTTTAAAGCAATATTGTGTAATATGTATTTTTTCAGAAAAAAAATTTGTGAATTCATTTGATTTTTTTTTTTTTTTTACTTAAAAAATGCAATAAAAAACATTCTGACTAAATTTAGTAATACAATACAAAAAAACACATTAAAAACACAAAAATGCATTCCCTGAAAACATCTTTCTATGTATTTTCTGTTAAGTATTTGTCTTGGTTTATGGATATTTATTTATTCGACTGGAAAATAGACCATGATAATGATTTAAGAAATCATTTTTTTTTCTCAGTAAAAGGAATCATGAGGTCTTTATCCGACTTTGTGAGCCATTGACCTTCTTAATTTATCATTCGTACTTTCTTTGACATCAATAATATCAAAACATCAAAAAATAGACAATAATATTGAGTACAAGAGGCTAATCTCACCTTTGCACTGGCCTAAATGCTGCACTGTGATCTCCTTATCTTGTCGGCACGCAATGGTCCTCAGCTGGCACCGGTCTGCATAGGTGACTCCATCAGAACCACATACCTGTCCACAAACATGTCCGTGCCCATTATTAGGGAAGAAATCTTCATTTGAGTAGTTGTAGAGTTTAAGGTGGATCCGTGACCTATGCTACCTCACCTTGGTCTTATTCTTTTCGTCACAATCTGGCGATGGGCACTCACAGTGAGCCTGTCCGTTCACCTCCACACATGATGACCCAAAGTGGCACACAAGCTCATCACAGGACTTGGGTGCCTGAGGTCCTGTGGAATAGTTTGGCCTCTGGTTAACACATAACCTGTATTCAATACTAAAATAAAAAGGGAACTTTTGAACTTGTAAGGGTACAGAAACCAAACTGGGTTCTTTAAGCAGTCCAGCATCCAAAACACAATAAATGCTGGACATTTCAGTGTGGGCTTCTTGTTAATCCACTTCTGATCCAAACCCTATGACCTCCACCACAGAAATTCATCAGAGAGTACGACTTGCATCAGCAGCAGAGCTGGGACCTTTCCCTGCCACAGAAGTCTACTCTTTACTCTGACATCAGAGCGCTGGGCTGCACTGCCTGGCCTGCAGCATTGACTGGATTCCTCTTCTGCACTTTCATGTGGTAGCTTTTATCTGGCAGGAACGCTGCATGAGCACTGCTATGTTGGGATTGTTGAGTTCATTAAGCTCTTCACTTCCTGTCAATAGCTGAGGGTGACTCCAAATTACTCACCAAGCCGACACTGGGGGTCACATCAGGATAGCATTTCACTGTCACCCCCGTTGCGCATTTGAAGATTCAACTTTGAACCAATTTAAACTTTTCAATGATTTGGGGATGGGATTTTAGCATATGGTCGAATGTAGGACAAATGAAAACATATAGTTTTAGAGTATATATTTTGTATTAATTGGAAATTATTTTTTTTTACTTTTATTGTATGTGATAGTTTAGCCTCAGCTGTAGATACTAAAATAATTATTAAAATATTATAATATATATACATCTTATTATTAGATCTACAAATAAGGTATTAAAATAAAATTATTTAATGTTATGACCATTAACCAATAAATGTTCTAAATATTATAATAATTCTATAAAATAATATTGTGTCAAATATATTTTGAAATGGATATTTATTTTCAGATTCGATAAATATTATGGTTTTGATAAATATTCCATTAGCTACATATTGTTTCGCATTGTAAATGTGAAAAAATTTGAGAAATTGACCATAATCATCCAAAATTGACTTATGTATAATATATATATTAAACGAATATATATATATATATATATATATATATAATAAAGCACCAATTTAGTATGATGATCAATTTGGAAAAGATATTTTGTTAATACCTTAGATGGTACCTCATCTGATGCATACTGGCGGATTCGAACCTACGTCCCATTGAGAACTTTCCACAATGCCATGGTTCCAACATGACACTGAAAGCCTTTTTTGTGAGAGCACTTTTAGGCAATTAATTAACCAGCTCTGTCATTTTTGTTATTTCTACTTGTACCCAACATTGTGAAAAACAGACCTTATTATAATTCCTAAAATCAACCTAGCTGCATCCGAAGTGAAATCGTGGAGAGATTATCTGAGGTTTGTGCTAATTAAAATCCCGGCGTTACCTTTGTCACAGCCGTTGGCTCCCTTCTTGCTGCCGTCGGGGCACACGTTGCATTTCATGCCCTTAACTCCGGGCTTACATGAGCACAGCCCTGACATCTGCTCACAGTCGTCACGAACCGAACCTACTCCATCACAGTTACACGCTGAGAGAGAGAGAGAGAGAGAGAGAGAGAGAGAGGGCTGTCAGCCTTATCTGCTTGAACAGTTTTGATTAGATTCCTTGTCTCTTTCTCTTCAATTTCACTCTGACAAAAACATCCACACATCCACCAAATGCATGAAGACAATCTGAAGCTGCTTCAATCTGTGACCCCACAGCTACAGCAAAGCACTCGCTCTGTGTCAATGACCGCAGTCTGGTGGAGTTCAAAGCAGGGTCAAGAAACCCTGGGGTGAGAGCGAACGTGGCTACAGAATGTGCTAATGCTCTGAGGACCCCTGGGACAGAGCACAAACTGTTTCAGTCATTCTTGGTTTTGTAGCGTTGTACAAACACATATACGTGCGTCAAAGCGGCATTATTGGTCTGTAGGCAGAACTTATAGGTCAAGCCACGCTGCACTCTCACAAGGTTCCCATTACCAGCGGTGGCTCAGAGGCTTAACTCGAAATGCTTGTTTTGACAGAAATCACATTTGAGGCCGGAAGGATACTGCACGTTAAACGAGTAGGTTGCCACTTCGGATTTTGGATTAGAAAGGAACATTTAGGACATTTAACAGAAAATGCCCTGAAAGCAAATCTCCAGGAACGGGAGAAGAGAGGGGCGCTTACGTGTGCAGCCGCTCATGTTCTCTGTGACGATGCCTCGGAAGTTCCAGAATCCGGGCTCGCAGCGGTCACACTTGAGTCCCCCGACGCCGGGTTTACAGGAGCACTGGCCGGTGGAGGGGTCACAGGTGCCTCCGTATGAGCCGTAATGGTTACACTGACACACACCTAAAGAAGAAGAAGTGCTTTTTAGAGGTACACAATTGTCAAACAGACCAGATGTGACAAAAGAAATGGCATGCAACACAATCGCAAATAATCCACAGTTGTTTAATACACAGTCGAAGAGAGATTTTGGACTAATGAGATTAGACTGTGGGCGGGGACTATTAGTCTGTTATTGGCCATGATACGAAAGTAATTGGTTGGAATTGAGCAGAATAACTAATATTGGTGCATCCCAAGCCCTCCCAACTCTTAAAAGTCTGTCCACTCACTTTTTGGATAAAGAAACAATTGTTTTTTTTAATCTTTATTATTAAGAATTTTATCCTTATAGTTTACAATAATTTAATTTTGATTGGCCATACTGTGTGAAGAAAAAATTTGCTAGCAAGCCATTTAAAATATCAGGATCGACTGGTTGCATTGGCAGTGGATGAAGGGAACAAACACTTAATTTCTAAAATAGCTATAGGGCACACTCTTTCGCTTCAGCAACTGTTGAACAAACGTTACATCATATAATTGATATTCATGAGCCTATAACATGCCCTCTCCCAACTTTATATCACTCCTACGCTGCAACGTTTGATGCTTTTTGCGTCTTTCTACAAACACTGGGCATGTAGGACATACTTCTAATGTCACTATTAATTAATTAACGGGAATATGAGTAGGAATATATTTATGTAAATATTAAAAATAACATTGATATGCATCAACAAACACTACTGCTCAAAAGTTTGTGATCAGTAGAATTGTTTAATGCTTTTGAAAGAAGTTAGGTATATTAAGTATAATATACTAGTATATTATGCAAGTATATTACTAGTATATTATGCTAATCTTTATATTTATATATATTTATAATACTTAGCTATTTATTTGATTAAAAATAAAAACAGTAATATTGTGAAATATTATTACAATTTAAATTAACTGTTTTATATTGTAATATATTTTAAAAGTCACATGATCCTTCAGAAATGATATTAATATGCCGATTTGCTTCTAAAGAAACATTTCTTATTATTATTGAAAACTGTTGTGTAGCTTCATATTTTTGTGGAGACATTTTTCTTCAGGATTTTTGATAAATATTTAAAAAATAGATTTATTTGAAATCGAAATCTTTTGAAATATTAAAAAACGTCTTTACTCCAAAAAATGTAGCAGTTTAATGTATTCAAACTGAATAAACATTAATTTTCATTAATTTTCCAAATTTGTTTGGCCTATTATGACTAACTGAACTAGATAGTTAGTTAATGGTTCATGACAGTTATACATACTAGGACATCCAGCCAGTCCAACACCCAGGGCAGCGGTCTTGTTGTCTTCACAACATCCGTAAACAGTTTCGCTACAGTGCTGGGAGGAATTGAGCTCTGGAGGAACTGATGTGATATCTAGAGAGAAGATACAGTGCAAACAGGGGCGGGTGGGGGAGAGAGAGAGAGAGAGAGAGAGACATATTGAGATCCACAGCGTTCTTAAGACAAATTAAACTAAACAATCCAAGCTGAAATGCAATTTAGTACAACACAATAAGAATCGCTTAAGGAGCAGGGGTGGAAGAGCCTGCAACTGGCTGCCAGATAACAATTCTATTTACAATTCCTGACACCAATTCAAAATCAGGAAAAAATGATGCTATTACCAGCCGTGAAAACAAACAATAGACCTCTCGTCGAATGTCTGGTGGGTGACATTTGACACATTCTCAGGGGCCTGTTGTCTCCATTTGTTCTCGTCTCAGATAGTGCCGTTTACACCTAAGCCGTACTGTGTCAAACAAAGATTTATGGACTCAAATGCACAGGAGTGCAAATCAGGACAAGCTGATGTCAGTCCACTTTCGCTTTAACCTAATTACACTATTCTATTGTTCACTGCTCACATACATGGGAAGTTTGTTGGGATGTTTAACTATAACGCTGTGCCAGAGGCAGATGGAAGGTGCCTATTTGTCTTATCTGTGTTGTCATTTTTTCTCAGAGTCTCTCCACATTTGTTCTTTTCAAGCGTTTCTTCTCTAGGCCATTGAGCTGAATGGCTGTGAGGTGGCAGGTTTGTGGTTTCAAGTACAGGACTGGGCTGTTGTAAATCAGGAAGCCGTTGGCGTGAGCACACATATCCTGGGGCATAATAGTGATGTGTCATTTTGTGGCTTCAGAGATGGGTTTTGTCCACACCTCATTAAACTTCTCCTCCAGTCCATTATGACAAAGGTGCATTTAATTTGATCCTTTCTTCTCGTCTCACTGCGATTCTTCACCATCCTCCCTATACACTGGTTTGTTCTACAACCCAATCCTTCCTGAAACAAGGTTCTTAAAAAAAAGACAGTTCCGCTAAGCTTATTTTTTATTAAAATCAACAAACTGAGAGAACCAATATTTTACCACACTAAACCGAAATAGTTTCTCCACACTAAACTGAAATCACATATATTATACATTATACATTTATAATATATTTTTACACAATCAAATATATAATATAATGTAGCGTACATTATATTAAAATGGAGAATATTTATAATATATTTGCATGCTTTTGATGGTGATTTAATTAGTTTAGATTAGATAAATCCTTGTCTCAGAACTTAAAACTATTAGAGTGTTAAAACACGATTCATTTCCGTGAATATTAAATGGCCTAAATGATTCAATGGTTTGTATATATGGTGGTTCCTCAGAAAAAAATTAAAGCAGATTAATATTCAAATATATATCGAACAAAGCAAAAAGTATAATTTAAATTTTACATTTAAATTTGTGTAGTTTTATTGCCCAGCTCAACTCAGTCTTTTATTTCCTCTGAGCGTCACTATTAGCCAAGCATCCCCTGATCTTCACTGCAAGGAGACTCAGAGCAAGGTTGTCTAGAGGTCACTGAAACCTAATTTCCAATTAGCAAAAAGCAGCAAGGTGCTCTGGAGACCCTTCAGCTCTCAAAGGCACAGGTCAGAAAATAGGGGAGGAGAGACTGCAGCTTGCATATCAAATACAACGCCCGATGAGATTTCCATTGATCTGAGTTCAGCCAATGGGAAGCAGATGCCAAAAGCTCCTCACACCGGATGAAAGTTCTCCAAAAGGATTTATTTTCCACGGCCACTGAAGGAGCATGACTGATCTGGCTAGAGGGCCTGTGAGGCTCTGAAGCAGAAAACCCTAGTTTTCTCAAGTTTGAGAAAACCATAGATAAAGGATGAGGGTGCAGCGAGTCAGAGAGAGCGCGGAGAGAAAAGCACGTGCATGTGTGCGCGCAAGTGGAGTCAAGCTCTGCTTGAAGCCTGAGGGAACCTCACACTGCTCTGATCACAGAGCCACACTCTTCCTCTCTCAGTGCTAGATGCTCAGGTCTGGACTACACAAGCCCCCTGAGCTAAAAAAAAAAAAATGCTGCATTCTTCTGCAGTCACTCTATAACAACCGTCCTGTCAGAATTCCTGGAGTGTTATTCTTCAGATCCTGAGGAAAACAAAATATTAGAGAAAAAGAAAGGTGGGCTCTCACCTGGACAGGGGCCTTGACTCTGGAGCAGCAGGTCCATTTGCTTCTCGCACCTGGATTTCTTCAGCTCACAATCGCTGCTGTACGTGTTCCCATCTGAGCCACACACCTGAAAATGTTCACGGAGAACAAGATTTAGCGCACGTTTTAACTAGTCAAATGCTTGGGCAATGTATGGGTGGCATTCTCTTCGATTGCTTGTCAATTGTGAAGGGACATACGGGGATGTGTGGCACAGTTTGACAGGTGTAGTCACATATGCAGCGCTCGTCCTCCGTGTCTTCGTCCCACCATCCGCCATATCGTTTACAACGATCCTGCTCGCAGGTCTCAGATCCTGAGCCTGAGCCTCCTGATCCGCAGTCTGTTGGAACACACACACATAGGCTATGGTAACACTGTCAAGTTTTTTGGGATTGAAAACTGCAGGTACGAGTCTCGAAATGTCCTGTTCAAACTTAAACTTACTAGAATACTGTCTGTATTCTCTTACAAGTATCCATGTCGACAGGGACCAAAGTAATATCAAAGACGTCGAGATCCGTAAAACTGAAAAGTCTTATCACTTTTGATATGACAAGTCCAAATCTCCATTAACCATCAACAGCTTTTATACCTGGGTGGGGAGCGGATCATTTGAGTCGTGCGTAAAACACAAAATTGACGGGAACAGCTCCGGTGTAGAACAGTGATGTGATCTAAACCCTTCAGATGACACACAGCTCATTTCTCTGTCAAAGTAAGTTACCGAAACCACAAATTAAATCCCGCTACACAAGGTAGACAGGCTGTATGACAAAACTAGTTTTCCAGTCCGGTTCAATTCATAAAGTGTGGAGTCCTGAAAATTTAGTGTGAGTTTGATTATAAAATTAGTTTGTCACTCCCGTAAATACCTTTATTCATTATTTATCAGACCTGCTAATGATTAATGACTTTCTAAAAATAAACAAGTCGTTTTTTTGTTGTTTTTTTAAATTAACTATTGACGTTACATGATGGCAAAGGTAATCTAAAAGTAAATTATATAGTACCGATATATTGTGCTTCCTCATAAACATCCATATACAGCTGTTTTCCTCATAAGAACCACGAGGGAGTTCCCCAAAATGTAGCTTTGTCCATACAAAGAGAAATAACTCACACACCTCAATTTTACACTGTATAAAAAGAACTAATAAAAGCACTAACACTGATTTCAGAGAGATAAACAAGCAATATCACACCAAACCTGGGGTACCCATAATAGTGTGTAAGTACTTTAGAAGTCACATAGAAAAAGACAAATAAGACACGCAGACACTGGGGACCTCATGCAAACACATATTTGCATATCAGTATGCCGCACATTGTCTTCTAATAAAATAAAAAAAAATATTCTCAGGTACTCAAGCATCTTGTTTTAACTTTGACTGCCAAGAATTAATGGACAGTGCATGGCAAAGTATTTAGACATTCAGCTCATATGGAGCAGCAATATTGAGATTTTCTTCACGTTGAAGTGAAGATTGAAGCAAAGGCACTGCTGGAAGTACAAGATAATGACCAGCTATGGAATTACCCTGCAACTAACAAAATAAATTAAATGAGACACCAGTGTGCCACCAGCAAAGTGTCCCTCACATTTCGATTAGAAGTGAAATAACTGACAATCTGTTATCTAGCACAGGAAATCAATGTGAACGGGTGTTTCACGGTCATCATGCGTGGCGTCAGTGATCACACTGCATTATACTGGGTGCAATTAGCCTCGGTGCGAGTTCAGGGTCAGTTTCTCTGTATGAAACCCCAAAGGATAAATCTCGAGTCTCTCCAGGATCCAAACTTTGGGAATTATTGTGAGGAAATCGTCAGGGTTTTTCTTCAGATGAGTCGCCTCATTAAACACACTCCTATCTAGCCTATTTAATTTAGAATTAAAGTTCATTACTCAACAAAGCTGATGATATAAAGCACCCCTCTTTTTTTTCAGAGCAGCTCTAAAAGAGTGTATTTCAGTTCCCGACGGCGTGTTTGACAACAGCAAAGCCTAAAAAATATTTATAAAAATATATATGATGTATATAATATATTTGTATTTAACAAGTGTCTGGTACAATAATGTGATGTCTTTGATTTGGCTTCATTTGGAGGCTTTTCTCTGCAATCACTCTTATATACAATTAAGTCGGCATATCATTTGCATAAGGCAAACATTCCACATGTACATCGATTTAATTAATGAGGAAAAAGCAGATGCTTATGGATGCTCTTTCACACGTCTCCACTGCGAGTTAAACATGCTCTTTTCTTCACATGCAAAGCTGGGTGCGCCCTGATGGGAAAATCGATTGTGTATAGGTGGAAATGTCACTTAGCATAAAACATCTCCTTGAACGGATTATGGAGCTGGTCACAGTAAAGGCTAGGGGTTGGCCAGCACTGATACGTCTTATCAAAAATTCACACTGACAGCCTTGCAAGGTCGATACTCGTGGAGGCCATTCAATTCATTAGCCTCTCGGAAACAATGAAAGCGTTCAAGCCTGAAACCCTGGCCACAGTGAAACAGAGAGCAAACGCACTCATTGTGTAGACATCAGGTTTCTTCTTCAGAGCATTAGCGATCCAACACTCTGACGAAGAGATTCGGTATTTTACTTAATGTGAGCCGAGTTTAATTTATGCCATCCTGTTAAGTTCAGCCAAGACTTTTTTTTTTTTTTTGTTAATCACCAATTGTCTATTATTATGGCGCAGCAAACTGTGCAAACCGTAACAAGTTGCCTGAAGCAGAGGGGAAGCAGAAAGTCTGTTTTACATTACACATACTTATACCAAATACACTTAATAATGTTATTAATAATACCAATATTAATACTATATTATTACCATTTATTCTATTTGAATATATTTTAAAATGTTATTTAACCCTGTGATGACAAAGCTGAATTTTCAGCATCATTACTCTACACTCTACACAAAAAATGCACCACTACCATTTTAAAGAATCTGTTAAGCCCAGTTTGGTTCTTCAGTGGTTCTCTGACATCTCTTATGGTTCTACATAGCACTATTTGACAAAGATAAGGCACTTAAAGTGGTTCCCCTATGATTATAAGCCAATGAACCACTTTAAGTGCTATTTAGCACCATTTTTGTTTAGAGTGTAGTCTTCAGTGTCACATGATCCTTCAGAAATGATTCTAATATAATGATTTGGTGCTTAACTCGTTCCAGCCAGGGTTTTTGAAAGAAGTTGCCAGCGGCAGCATTTTTGATCATTTTCTCAAAAGTTTCATGCCCCGCCAGAATATTTGGTTGTATGAATATCTGAAGATGCAATATATGTGTTTATGTATGTGTCTCAAAAAGCTGAGAAAATCGAAGATTTATTTGTCAAAGACTACGTCTGGATCAGATTCAGAAGGGTTATCAAAACATAGATGGAGTAGATCGAGTCCATCAACAGCACCAAAAGCTTCATAGTCCTATAGTTTGTTATGGGTCGACATTTCATTCAGTAACGTTAGGCGGTTTTGATTTATATGCTGGTTAATGTTGATGATCGTGTTATGTTATGTATGCATCTGCTTACACATGCTATCGCTTGTTTGATCAGAGGATTCAGTACTCTTTCAGAAGATGTGTTATAGCGCCTCCAATTGTATAACATTGAAAACACGGAAAGACAGAAAATTTGAGAAGCTGCAGAGCAAATGGGAGGAGCTTACGTGCTCAAGAGGAGATTCGCAAGGGCTCATGTGAGATGGAGCAAATGTAATTTGGGCCTAATGGCTGGAGCAAGAATATCCAACTACACCCTAACTCTACTCCAACCCTACCCACAACTCTATCCCATCCCCCATAGGAGCTCCAGAGGGGAGGAGCTGGTCGCCTAACATTGTGTCATAAATTACACAAAATTCAGTCAATGGCGAGGAAAGAGTAAATATTTTTGGTGGAATGGATAGAAAGTTCAAAAGTTCAAAAAAATCAATTTAATGCATCCTTGCTGATGTCTTTTTTCTTTTTAAGAAAATAAATTAAACAGTAGTTTGCATCATAGTTATGTTGCTTCATTATTGGTAATAAAAGACTTTTCATAAATGGGTTTAAAGCACATTTTCAAAGTGTTTTTAAGTCAAGAACAGTAAAAAGTGTATGCCGTGTATGCATTTCTGATACACGGCATTATGCTTCTTACACACGCAGTGTGAATACTATAAACAGAAATTTGAGCATGTAAATAAATGTGCTGCTTAGTGTGCAGTATGAAACAGACCTGATAGCAAGAAGGATTCCAGTCGTTTACAGTAGCACAAAGCCCATTACCCATTCAATGCACGCTCTCATCGCGATACTATAAATAATACGCTTAAATGAAGGTTCCTAAACTCTGACTCTGATAAGCCTGACTGCAGAGCAGCAGCGGCAATCATTTCCATATACGAGGCTCTCTGGGCCACCTAAGCCCAATTGTGCAAGCTAAGCATTAGATGAAAGCATTTAGATTCCCGGTTCTGTTGTGCGTTAGAAGCAGGGGAAAATGCAACGTAAAAAGGTGAATAAATAAAACTAGCGGAGTGAGTGGATGCTAGTGAGGGAGGAGGTGCTAATTAGTTTCAGTCCTTTGATGTCACCGCCACCCACGCCGCATGCAAACCTTTCAATTAGCGAACAACAAGATGTACACATCAACTGTCCTCAAAGCTCTTTCCCGTCTCTTTAACTCAATCATGTACTTATGGGGTCCATTTAGCCATGCGTTTTCCATTAAGACGGAGAGCTGAAGGAATAAAGAGCGAGCTAGAGTGAAAGCAAAGTGGGTAAACAGACACAGAATAACTCTAGTAGAAAAAAAAAAAGCAGATGGTACCATCAAGAGGTGAAAGGTTCTCTCTGGCCGATGAGGAGATGGATGATGGGGAAAGGAGAGAGAGAGATACGGGAGAATGAGGAGAAAAAAAATGTCAGGCAGAAGAGCGGCGAGGACAGTGACCTTCAGACTTAACTGCTAGTTTGTTGCAGGTGGCTGGGATGCCTTACTGTGAATGCATAACTCCCATGAAAACACACACACAGACCTTCTAAATGTCATACTTCACTTTGGCGCACACACAAACACAAACCTCCTCATCCTCTCTCTTCCTCTTTTTTCATTTCTCCCCTCGAGAGTCAACATTCACATTCATCACATGTTGTTGACCTCTGTATCTCAAACTATGGCTTAGTAACACACACACACAGAATTATGACTCATATTACACAGTATTGTAATACATCCCCAATGACTTTACACATAAACGCATAAAAAAAGTGTACATTTTTAAACAGGCTTTTGTCCATCCACATGAAAGCCAATGGTGTCTAATGTTACTTCGGGACCCCGCTGACATTCATTATATGGAAAAAAATAGTATTTCATTCCTCAAGATATCGTCTTTTGCATCCCACTGAAAAAAGTAAGTCATACAGGTTTGGAAGAACATAAGGGTTGACAATATTTTAATTTGTGAGGGAAATATACCTTTAAGACAGAATATCTTCAGGTTTAAATGTCAATATTAAAAATGGCAATACTGCAGAACTGGTAATTGTGATTAATTTGAGTTTAAGTTTCAATGAGCATTCGATTTAATTGTTCATGCAAATCTCTCACATATTCATGTTTTATTTTTCAATATGTGTAGGTAAATATTGCTGTTTATCACTATTTATTTTTATTTTGGAAAATATAAAGAAAAAAATTAAGTGTGAAAAAAAAAATTTTTTTTTCATAAGATATAAGATATTTATTGCATTATTTATATATACCTACATTGCATATGTAATAAATTCAGTTGGCTACAATGGCTAAAATACAAAACATTACATAAAAATACAAAAAAGTAATCTTTTTTAAGCTATAAATCCCAGCATTAGTTGGCTATTTTCTGTTTACTTGTGATTTGTCTCCCTGTAGACGGGCATTACTGACAGACCTAGACAGTAGGCTTAGAGTAACTGCGATGCTGTAACCGTGATCCAACATAAAAAGCAATAGGGCATCCTGACAGCCTGCAGAAGTTTCTTTATGAGAAGATTCTTGTGTGTAATGGATGACTGCACACTCCCAAACTCTCTTCCTGTGGGTGATCCAGAGCCTGTACCGATGCTTTATACGCTATTATGTTGCTATTTCCGATGCATAATCCTATTTAGTAAACGCATATTCAATTAAAAGCGGGCCGCGGCCCCAAGGTGATGCTCAGCTCCCTCGTATCGCTTTGTCTGTGTCTACAATGAGGCTGACTTCAGACTAGCAGAGTGTGAAATTAAACAGGTGATAAATTCACTGCTACGGCCAGACGCAGGGTACACTGTCATTTTTCATTACCTCAAATAAAAGAGTGAAAGAACACTGCCATGTTTTTCTTATGACTAATGAACATGAGTATTGAAGCCAGGTCTAAACAAATGAATAAACCATCTCCGTGTAAATAAACAGCCCCTTTGGCCCCTTTAAGAAAATGTTTTCCTTTGACACTATATTTTATGCCCACAACCGCAAAATCATACCAGCCATCACACAAATGAAGCAAGGTGTTTGAAAGCTAAATGGAAGATAGACAAAACAGCTCTGTTTTCATCAAGCTAATACCCCATTGACCAATCTTCTACATACAAAAACCAGCCAGGTGCTGCTGTATCGCATCACTAGTGTAGAGAATAACCTGACAAAGCAGGTGTCACTGGCCTCTGGTTAGGATCTATTGACCAGACCCAGATCCCTGCAGCCTTTAACAGAAACTCCTCCACAGCTTACAGAACTGGAAAGAAAGGTCTGTTGAGACTTAGTAGGGAAAACAACATGTGTTTTTTACTGCTGAACAGCCTACCGGGAGAGATTACATCACGGCTATTCACTCTTAGAAGAAAAGGTTCTATATAGAACCTTAAAAGGTTCTATCAGTGCTAGGCTTCGTATTTGGAATAATAATAATAATGTTCCAGACCAGGAAAAAGGTTCTATATGGAACTTTTTGGGTTCATTCATTATCATTTGTTTTGTCCTTTCCGTATTAAATATTTCATATTATTGAGAAACATCAAGACCCTAAAATGTATTTATGAATGCATGTGAATGATCACAAAATTCAAGATATGGGGGTTAGAAAATGTATATATTTATATCATTTTATGCAGTTAATCAATATCAGAGCGCCATTTCAGTTTTTCTCCTCCAAAAATCAGCATGATTAAAATGTGATATTAAGTTATACAACAGTTTAATAAGCAATAATTTAATTACAACTACAAAATGTTGCAGAATAATGTATAATATATGTATAATATATGAATGAATAATAGCCTATAAAGGACATTTGAGCCAAAAGGGTTCTTTCTTGTCATTATAGAATCTTTTTTAACATAAAGGTTATTTGGAATTGAGTAAAAACCGCTATGCTTCATATATAGAACCCCAATGAACCCTTTTTTTCTATGAGTGTACAGAGAGGTGTTGGGGCATATTATAGTCTCTAAATAAAACTTAAATAAAAGTAGTGACACATGTGTGTCTAAGAAGCTCTTCCAGTACAAAACCAATTTTCCAATGAATAGTCATGTAACATGATAAATGTAGAAGTGACAACCTTTGTTTTTTTGTATAATGCTTAATAATATTTTACATTATTTAGCATTTTTTTAGCATTAATAGTTTACTTTTTTAGTCAATAAAGCAGAAAATTGAATAATTATGTTGACAATGAGACATTATGTAAGTTACTGTCTATATGCACTCATGTTCAAAAGTTTATATCGAGTTTGGAAGATGTTGTGTTTGTGCTGTGCTGTTTACCTTGGATTTACCTCAGAAAAATTAGAAGAATGACCGATAGAGACCGATTTTTAAGGTAAGATATTTCCACTCATAAAAGTAAGCATGGTATTGTTGCATAAACTTCATATTGTAACTAATAGTTAAACAAATGTGTATGTTTATATAGACAGAAACATGTTGATTTATAAACTATAGACAAGTAGACAACTTTTCAATCCTAAATTTATATACATGTACAACACAATGATGTTTTTATGTTCGATAATAAAACACAGCATGAAATAAAAGTAGGCCTCCTACAGGCTATTGCTGTTATTACCAGGAACACACCCCTAAATGCATTGAAGCAACTGCCACGTGATTGGTTGATTAGATAATTGCATTAATGAGAAATTGAACAGGTGTTCCTAACAACCCTTTAGGTGAGTATGTATATACATAAGTTATTAATATACAAGCAGTTTCTCAAACACTGATACTGTAAGAAGAAAAAGGGATCTGGAGTGAAAACACAGAGAACACAAGGAGCATACTGATGCCTGCATTTCATGCTTCACATATGATGGGTCACTAAGTGCAGTTGATGCAAGGCAGTTAAATTGGCCGCAATAAACTGTTTGGAGTGAATACATTAACCCTGCGAGTCCTCAGTACAACATTGAAAATCAACAAATAACAGGGAGTTCAGCTATCTTATCACAGACTTGAACACATGAACTCACCTTCATCACAGGCGCCAGGTTTGGCCAACTCAATCTTCCTCTGTTTCTTGCAGACTGCCAGACGCAGCTCACAGTCGTTGTTGTAGGTGGTGCCGTCGCTGCCACACACGGGTTTTACTGGCTGACCCGTGCATTGCTGACACTCACACTTGTTCTGCACGCACCGAGCTCCCCAGCTACAAACAGTGCTGCCACAAGTTTCTGATCACACACACACACACACAGACGCAAATCACAGGACAGATAGTTGAGACACAAGAAACATGTTCACATCCGCAATAAACCTCCTGAACGCATTCACGTGGAATTCTGCTATGTAAAACCCACTTAAAATCATGTCTCATGCATAACATGATTTGGAAAGAGTGCAAAAAACAGTTTCTTGTGTTTTGACAAGAAAACTGCACAGCAAAACATTTTCTTAATCAGTATTTTGTCTTGTTTCCCAGTAAAACGTAATCAAACAATTTAAAACAACATAATTTACTTTAATTAAAAAAAAACAAAACATATTTTGAATTTTTTTTCTTACGAGCTTATTAGCTAATTGTTTTTCTTGCTTAAAGCTACACTGTGTGATTTTTACCCCCATCTAGAGGTGAAAAGGTATATGACCATCCAGGGAATATTAGTTTCTGTTCCTCTCAATTCCGATTTCGTTTTAACTCCTACGGTGGCCAATGTAGTCCAAGATTAATACGGCTTCCGGTTCGACCTCGTTCATGACTGTTAACGCAAACGTAAACGCGAAAGGCGAAGCTTGAATTAACGGCTTTGGCTAATGTACTTTCAAGATGGAGGGTCAACATGGCGACCGACATTAGAACCCCTTACTACCCGTATGTATTTTCAATGGCATATTATACACTCACGAGAGTACTTTATTACTTGAACGAAGTAAATATACATTAATGAGCACATATATATTTTTGAAAGAACTAAGTGTTTTTAGCTAAGAATAAACTAAGAGTTACACAGTGTAGCTTTAAAGCATCTAAAATATGTGATTTATGCATAAACAAACAATATACATTCTCAGAAGTTTGTAAATTTAGAACATTTATCTTGTTTTAAGAATATTTTACTGGAATAAACTGGAACAAAAATACTAGAGAAAATGATTTTGTTTTGCAGCAAACGCAGACTGATGAGTGGACATGTATGAAGGTGATGGATGAACTGATTGGCATTTTTATGTACTCACTGCATTCTCCATGGGCCACCACTCTGAGATCCAGCTGCTTAGTGCAGGCTTTAACGTTCAGCTTGCACTCGTTGTCGTATGTCACCCCGTCGCTGCCGCACACGGGCTGCCGTGTTTCCAAACACCCTTTGGGGCACACGCACCGGCCAGTCTGAGAATCGCAGATCGCGCCAAACGAGCAGTTGGTGCAGGACTCATCTGCTGAAAAGGAAGTGTGACGTCAACGGAGAGGTTCAGGCTACAGATTCACACCATCGCTCACTGGGATCAGCCTCAGCTGCCCGACCGCCTGTCTGCTTTTTCAAATCTCTCTGCAAAGTCTGGGCTGAAGCATCCTTCCAACTTACAGATGGGAGCAACACTGCTCTATTTACATGCAGTCACAGTAGAGCATCTTATTATAGCACCATCAATTTCAATTGATGTTGAGCCTTCGGACACTGTTACAATCCCTTTGAAATGTCACATGGCATTGTATTTAACTGACCAGAGATCGATATTTACCACAAAAAGTACCAAAATGAAGCCATTAGAGACACAACCACACAATTATATTTTAATATGTGTTATTTTAAAACAAAATGTATAAAAAAATGTATAACAACAAAAATATAAAGTGTAATTATATTTATTAAATATTGTGGCCAAAACTGGTACTGCAATCACTTCCAAATTAGGGTGCCCGCATGACTTCGAGGTTGCCAGATATGCTGCAGGTTCCAGCAAGAATGTAGGCTGCTACAAGAAGCTCCCAATGGCAAGTGACGAGTCCTAAAAAAGTGCGTTTTTTCTGTTAATTATTTATTTCGGACTTTGTAACAAAGTATTTCGGATTCATATTGAGTTTTTTGGGGATTCGCAACGTTAGAATTTTTTGTATCCGATTCCGACACGTTTGTATCTGCAGCTGTGGTAACTAGAGAAGAGCTGGCAACCCGAATGCCGCAACACTACTGACTCCGTGATTGGTAGATCGGTGGAGGGTGACGCATCAGAACAAAACACAACATCAGTCAAGGGCTGCGACTTCACTTTTTAAATGACAATAACCTGGCCGGACTACTGTTGTCAGTGATATAAGTATTTAAAATGAACATGATTTATTAATGTCTAGTGTGACATCTCAGGGAAAATTTAGGATTAATTGAAACAAATTTCTTGCATACAGCTCCTTTAAATATTATATATTTATATATTCCTAAATATCCTGATATGCATGAATTGAATCAATTATTAATCGAATATACTTTTTTTTATTACACAATTCAAATACAGGGGTCAGGGGGGGCAAGATTAAGGTTTATTTAGTTTTTTTTTTTTTTAAGTAATTAAAGTTAATGTGTGAAGTTGACATCCCTTAGTTAAATATAGAGCTATGATTCCCAAGAGCTCGATTAATCAGTAAAACAAAATGTGGTTCCAACTAGGAGGGAGGACGCACGGCCGATGACAATTACACCTGGAGGATTGCATTAGAGCAACTGCTATCACATTCAATTAGCACTGGGGTAATAACAGCACCTGATTTAGTGTTAATGGAGAGAGGTCCTCATGCATAAATCTCTCGTCTCTCTTCTACTAACCTGTTTATTGCACATTAATAAAGTGACCTCACCTCGGCTCAGAATCTGCGCTCAGTCAACCTCAGGGACCGCGCTCGGCCGAGTTATTAAAAGCAGCTGCAGCATGCTGTCTCGTGGCTGCCCAAGAGCGGTTCATCGTGACAGTCCAATGCAGGCCGATAAATCACATTCTCTTGGCTGCTGGTATTCTACTTTATCAGCATGTGTGATAAAGGCATTTCTTTATCAGTTGCAACATGTTTCCATGCTTTCACAGCCTCAGCAGTGGGGAGCGAAATAGATATGGCAGTCCGTTACATATAAACAACGATCCAGCGTACAGTGCTGGGCCCGAGATACGAGTACAGACAGAGGTCTTAAGGGCAGAGCTTAGCCTTATGGGAAACAAGAAGAGAACCTGTCCATTCAAGCCCAGAAATCTAAAGCTCTCCATCACTTCATTCCAAACCTGTACGACTTTCTTTCTTACGAAACACAAAGAAAATGTTGAATGGTGTTTCCCTCTTTTGCATGCAATTATAATGAATGGGGACTGCAGCTTTTAAGCTTCAGAAAGGTCACAAAGGTATCATTAAGGTATAAAAAAAAGTTTGTACCTTTTTTGTCACATATATAACTTTTCATACATTAGCTTTGTGAAGGAAAAATAATTAAATTTAAGCCTTTGTTGAGCTGAGATTAAAAAAAAAATCACGTTTTGTGTTTGGTGTATAATGAAAAAAGTTAATTTTGGGGCAAACTGGGTGAGCGGTAAGTGCTCTTTTGCCAGGAGAAAGGAAGGAGCATTGTTAATGTCAGGAACGGAACAGCACGGTGAATAGCCGTAAAAATTCCCAGGCGATTGGTGCTTGGGCAAGGGCACCCGCTCTATTAGTCTGCTCCGTCTCCTCCTAGTTTTTATTTACTGCCCTTTCACTCCATCCACAGCCTGATGATTTTTCTTCCGCTGTTCCAGCTCAGTGTCTTGCAGGTAACCTATATTCCCCAACTGTGGCTAGTAACATTTCAATCACCAGTAAAAAGTGCTTATTTGCTGCTGACCCGTTGGCTGTTTTTACATTTCCTTGCATATAAATGTATACGTATTGGTTCTCGGAGGGGCAGATATCAAATACTTCATTACAACGGCAGGCTTCCCTGTGGATGCACGACAAGGTCAGCCGCCAGTCAAACGTGAGGGGAAAAAATCGGAATAATAAACTATGTCCGTCATATCTCTATCAGTCTGCACCTGAACTATAAAGATAAGGACATTTATGAGTATCCCCTATGCGGAGTGAAGAAAATTAAATGAAATTTGGCCACGAGCACATCATACTCCCACTCGTGTGGGTGCATTGCTACCAACAGTGACCCACTTGCAAGCTTTCACGAACAAATACACACAAACACAGCTGGGGTCTTAGTGAGGCAGAGGCTGAGGTCTGAATGGGCCCAGATAATTAACGGTTGTAATAATAGAATTCACTTGCGGTGGAGAGCATGACTGTGTACACAGAACTAAATGAACAACGCTTCCTCGTATGGTTAGTTGTTTGCAGCCGCTCTTTATTGACCCTTTCCATTGACACCTGCTCCAGTCAGGGACTGGACCCATCAACACCGCTGTGACGGTGTAATGGGTGGGTTTAAAAAAAAAAAAAGCAATTTCCAGCTGGAATAAACAGGTTAATCCTCTTTAAGGTGTTTAGGCTTGTTTATGGAATACCAATGCTGTTTTTTTTAGATGGTCAAATATGGTCTATCACTAAATCGCTTGTCCAACATGATCTAGCAGATCTAAACCAATCTCACCATTTTACAGTTCAGCTGATCAACTATCTAGACCAGCTAATAGAACAAAGCATAATTATTTTTTTCAGTTGTTTGATTTAAAATAATTTATAAAATAATATAACATTTAAAATAGGGCTGTCAAACGATTAATCGCATCCAAAATAAAAGTTTGTGTTTACATAATATATGTGGGTGCACTGTGTATAATTATTTTATATTTTAAATACACACACATGCTTTACCTATTTAAAAAATATTTTCATGTATATACTGTATATAGATTTATATATAATTCATATATTATATATAAATATATATTATATATAAATAATATAATATAAAATATTATATAAATATTAAATATAAAAAAATATTATAAATAAATATAATAAATATTAAATATTATAAAAATATTTATATATATATATATATATATATATATATATATATATATATATAAAATAATTATACACAGTGCACCCACATATATTATGTAAACACAAACTTTTATTTTGAATGATTAATCGTTTGACAGCCCTAGTTTAAAATAAAATATTTTATAAATATACACATATTTCTGGGTTTATATTAAAAAGCTAATGATCTCAAATGTTAACTAAATTAATTTGCACTATAAAAATTCTATTTAAAAGCGTATTACATAAAAAAAAAAAAAAATAATCCCTTTTATTTCCAGGTTTTCCATGATCGTGAGAAGCATGTTATTATCTTCTATGAGGACACATAGAATATCTTGCAGTTGCAAAACAAACCCATCAAGCTCAAGCAGTTCTAAAATCCTTTCTTTCAAGCACTGAATCATCAGTTTTAAGTTTTCATCTTATATGAATGAAAACAGACAAGCTTGGCCCCACCCAAACCTGATTCTGTGGGTTAGGCTAAATCTCTGTGGGTAGTTAAGTGGATGTTCCAGAAGCCTGCGAGGAGAGAGATATCACTCTCATATGTCATTTACTATCTGGCAACATATACAGCATGATGGGCGGTGCTGCAATAAAGAGAAACCGTGGCCTGTGGCGATCTCCTCTGAGATGAATCCTACTGCTGCCAAATGACTCCCGGCCTCCATTTCAAACTCTTCACTGGAGGCACAGCTAATACACAGGTATAAACTGCAAACACACGACATTTCTTTTAAATTTCGACACAATAGCTCTACCTCATTCTCTCTGAACCGAAGCCTACGGTGAAAAAGAAAGGCTTTACAAATGGTGGTAAAAGTTTGGCGGAAAAAGTCCACTTAATATTCCCCTCCCAAGCGAATACACATAGACAGCCATCGAAAATGATTTACAAGCCTTTTGTGAAGAACACACATAAACATGCGTTTGTTTGGAGGGCAAGCAGGCCTCTCTACAGACTTATCTGGTGCATGCTTACAAAAGCCAGACAAAAAAAACCATGACTCATGCAAACAATTACTGTGAAGGATGCTGCCCTCTTTAATTCTAACTTAAGTGCATCGTTTCAAAAAAAAAAGGTTGCGGAGGAGGAAAATTACAGTCCTCTCTTGAAATATCAGTGGAGTGCTTAAGTGCAGGGGATGGACGAGGATGAAAGGCAGTGAGGGAGTGAGTGGCGGCAATGTGTGTGTGGACTCACCACATGGTCCTTTGTGTTGCATCTGTATCTGTTTCTGAAGGGCGCATCCCATGGCCTTCATTTGACATGAGTTGCTGTAAGTGTGCCCATCGCTGCCGCAAACAGGGTCTTGGTCCTGCGAACACGCATCTGAGCATTCACACACTGGCTCGCTGTTCTTCACCACGCACACGGCTCCAAACTCACAGGTCTTCTTCAGGCAAGGGCTCTCCATGTTAAGATCTGCCCAAAAAGCAGAAAAACGAGTTATCATTCAACTTACAGGAAGAAGGGAAAGACAAGGAAGAGGGGAAAGAGTAAAATAAGCTAAATCCAGATGTCACTCCACTTGTCGGTACTTAATCTGGATTTCGCACATACCCCGTTTGACTATTTAGGGAGTGACCAGATCCTACGGTTAACTTGTCAGCATCCATGTTTCTCATTTCCACCCATGATACACCAAAATGTCTATATCAAACATTTCAGGATGCGGAGTGACTCTAGTTTTCAATTCACATATGGTACAATAACTTAAAGGGATAGTTCACTTTGAAATTAATTTTTTATATGTTGTAGCTTACCTCAAGGGCATCCAAGATATAGGTGTCTTTGTTTCCACAGTATTTTCAATTTTGACATTTTTCAGTCAAACCGTTGTTGTCTATCAGTCATACACTGGAGGCTAAGGGGGGTCGATATAAAAAAATTAACGATATAAAAACGATATAAATACTGTTCGTTTTCTCACACAAACCGCTCGTTTCATGTCTTAGGCCATCAATGTGTACTTACATTTACGAGTCATTAAATCATGTTTAATTTTGACTTCTCATGTGCATGCTCTTTGGTGGACCCCCTTAGGCTCCAGTGTATGACTGATAGACAACAACGGTTTGACTGAAAAATGTCAAAATTGAAAATACTGTGGAAACAAAGACACCTACATCTTGGATGCCCTTGAGATAAGCTAAAACATATCAAAAATTAATTTCAAAGTGAACTATCCCTTTAATGGATTCACTTCTGCCTTTAAATGAGGTGTTTGCACCCATAACTGATTCCTTGATTACACAAGAGGGACACCAAAATATTGCCATGATTATCTCTATATCAAAGATTGCAGGATCTGGAGTGACTTTGAGTATACCGTTCACACACAATCAAAGAGCTTAATCAATTTGCTACCAATTCTATCAATAATGCTGCCTGAGTATCTCAGAAAATGTTATACAATCCGCTTGCTAAACAGATACACATTCTGTGCACATTCAACATGCAGCCTATTAGAGCATCCAATCAGAACTCTAACTACTAGCATCTCATTTCATGCATCACTAACCAAGACTCCCCAACTACGAACAGTATTTTATTTTTTTTAAATAGACAGACAAGTGAAACAAAGCATCATCCTAGAAAAGGGAGTGCTCTGGTAAATAATTGAGTGTGCTGAGCTACAGCACAGATATGAAATATGAACATGAAAGAGAGTAGCGGGGTCTCTCAGCGGTGCCACAGTAGTTCATTAACTGCTGCAGTTAGCAGACAGAGGGCCAAGGGACAGTGGGACCAAGCATAAGCCCTGTTTCTGATGTGAACAGAGGGAAAGAGAACAAGGAGAATGAGAAAGAAGAAGTGGGTCAGCAATGAACCAGCACAGCTCACCATCCTCTAGAGGAGAACCTTTCGTCACCAAATAAGGCCTCGTTTCGCCCAATCAGGGGGAAGTTTTATAAAAACAGGTTTAAAAAAAAAATGCACAGAGAGGATGGAGGAGGTTTCTGGGGGAGATTCTGTAAAAAGGAATTACCCTCATTTCATTCCAAACATGACGCCCTTTCTCCTGTAGAAAATAAAAGGAGACGTTAAGCAGAATGTCCGCACTGCTCTTTTCCACACAACTTATATTGTATGGAAAAGAACAATGTGAAGATCCTGCCGACATACAGATTTGGCAAGACATGAGGGCAAGAAAATTTTGCACAATTTGACATTTTTAGATGAGCTTTTTTTTGTTTTATAAACAAATAAACAATGTGTTGCACATTTGTATGCTTGGGCTTCATAGTGGAGATTTGAGAAAGGCTAGGAGTAAACGTGATATGTTTGCACTTTAAGATTAAAGACACGTCAAAATAAAGGGCAGCCCTTCAGGCTCACTCATTATTGTGTGAGAAGTAAAATGACAGGGTGACGGAAAATATTTGCAGGTACATTCTGGTCGGCGTATGAGAGTGTGTATGTAGAAGAATACGTGTTTTTGCCTGTTTGTTTGTGATTGTGTCTTTGTGTGTACATATAAATGAGAAACCCTCCATCTTCAGTGTTTGTTTTAGGAATGTATATGTATGTGTGAGTGTGTGTGCGCCCCCTACCTCTGCTATGTACGGTGCTTTCACCGCAGTCATTTATTCCAGGATTTGATGCTATCATTCCAAAATAATATTACACTCAGATACATTTAATATTGCACAGAAACAGCTATCATAACGCTTTCAGATAAATCAAATGAGCCCTGCTCCATAAAAATAACATTGTTTTCCAATATGATTGAACAAATAAGCCCAAAGTAATAATAATAAATTACGTCATTTTGAGCATCTACAAGAGGGAAGAGAGACGATTTGTTCCAGAACCACGAGTTGCTTACAGAGGCAACATTTTCAAACATGCTGGCTAGGGCGTTTAGTTTTGTGGGGAAAGTAATTTTTGAATGTGATTAAAAACATTTTTAAAACAACAATCACATTTATTTTATATCATTTTGAAAATAATAATAGCAATAGGAATACATTTATTCTTATATAATGATATTAATAATACTAATTATTATTGTTTTTTTATTAATGAATACAAATATATTAAGACTCTGTAAATAAATTACAAATATAATAATTCTCTTTAAAATGACAAAATTATGAGTGTTTAATTTTTTTTTTATTTCATAGTGAAACTGTTTTCAACTGTTTTATTGTATAGTTTTCATTTATTCATTTTTTTTTTTAAACATTAAACCCTCAATAACCAACAACAACTGGTTTAAAAACATTTCTCATTACAAGTTTAGGCAGATGTTGGGTTCCCAAATGGGATGTAAAAGTTGTTCTAAAAGAGCATGCTAACAATGTAGTTTCAGTCAAATTCAAAAGAAGACCAATCCTAGAATGCGCTGCAACAAGCTAAGGTATGAAGCGGAAGAAACGTTGATGAATGTAAATTTCGAGATTCTATGGTGTTTAGCATGCTGTTTTAGAAGGCAGCTGATCAGACAGAAGGCAGCTCACTAGGTTTAGCAATAGCAAACAGAGCTAATGATTTAACCTGTGGCTTAAATGATACTAGCAGGAGTGAGAACCCCAGACAGTTTTGAGGCTTTAGTGAACTGCAGGAGGGGGGGTTACTCTTCCTGCCACCCACCTACAGTACAATCGCATCCCACATCTGAAAGCAGCGACCAGGAAGAAGTGCATATCAGACACACATGAAGCACAGCATGCATCAAAAAACCATGATTAGTACTCCAAAGCATGTTCTTCATGAAAGAAATCGAGCGGTGGCGCACACACACCTCTTTTAAACCCAGATGTATACCCACTGTAACTTCTCAGTCAAGCCAATGAAAATAAAACCAGAAGTGGGATATAAGCAGGTTACCTTCCCGACCACTGGGTTCCAGTGACAATCTGTAGCTTCACTAAGAGAACGTTTCCGACTATTGATTTCTCAGCTCTAGAGAACGAGAGCTTAAAATACGGCTTGAACTGGCACGTAACTGTGTAAACAGTGGATCGGTGCCTAATTTCGCAGGCCTTGAAAGCGGGCTTTTCCTCCAGATTTCTTCACTAAGCGCCTCTCCATCTGTGCCTTCCAAACGCCCAGCTGGAAGACGACAAGATCAGGCCTATCAGTAGAGCCCTCATGGCCTTCAAAACGCTTCAATGACCCGCTTTCCCAAGGCACGGATCCTAAAATCCGAACCGCAGCCTTTGATAATGCTTCGTCCCGAGCCAGACTTAGTTTCCTTATAAAGATTAAAGAATAGCTCTCCCTCATAAAACCAAAATAAAAAAGAATACGAAAAAAGATGATATGGAAAGAAACGTTCGCTCGTCGAGTTTCTCATTTTCAGTTTTTTGTCTCTAGGGGATGGGCAGATTTAATAAGTCAAGGAAGAGAAAGTTCTAGAAATAATGGTAAAGTAAATCCAGCCATGATTACATACTTGGTATATAATTAAAAAAAAAAAATCTTCCAGTAGCCTAGCCTTGGTTATTGAGATGGCTTGCATATTCTCTCAGTAAAAAATGAGCCCTTTTTTGGAGCCTCTTTGAAATAGTGGGCTGCCATCCCCGAGGCCTGTGCTGCATTGCCAGTCTTCAAGGACTCCAGCTGTAAGCTGGATGACAGCCATATGCTTCGACGAGACTGCCACTGGGACACGATGCACATAGAAACGGGTGCATTTGAAGTTTTTTTTCACAGGTTACCGCATGTAAAAGAAAGGAAAGCTACGTAAGTGAAAAGAAAGTGACGCTGTAAAGTGGCGAAGTACGTTAATTAGGAGCTTGCGAGAGAGTGTGTGTGGAAAAACAGGCCTAATAAGGTGCGAAGAAATAGCAGGACTCGGAAGAGCTGAGTAATTGCTGTGATCAGGTCTGAGAATCTCTGCACACCTCTGACCCTGGTGGTTCTGTGAGCTGTTATAATATGTGTGATGTGGCTCCGCCTCTTGCTCTACATCCACACTGCAATTTGTATCATATTATACATTCATTCTTGTGGCGTTTAATTACTACTGCCACCGAAACACGATGTTAAGGACTATTAGCACAGGCATCTCCTCTTGTGACAGCTTCCCTTCATGCTTTATCCTGACACGTCGCCCACCAAAGGCACACACCCACACCCACTGACAATCTCGCTATCCGTTCCATGCTATTTAAAGAGCAGTTCTCTTGAGCCCAAGTAGATTTCTTTAACTTGGTTTGCAGTGCTTTCAGAGCACAGACAGTCAGCCAACACACACTTCAGGGGGGCCGGTAAGCTTAGTTGGTGGGTTTAGCACAGTGCGAATGCAGAGAATTATTCCTACGATCTGCTGTATGCATGCTCATGCATATGGAGATCTCCATCCCTCGTATCGGGATTACAGGGTGTGCGAGAGTCGTGATACAAACGGTCGCATGAGTGTCTCCTACATCTCTCCGCTCCATCGCATCCTGCCAATATGAGAGGTGTTCGTG